GCGATGAGTATGAAGATTTCCGTCTTCTGGGTTGTAGCGTAAGAGTTTTAGATGTATTTATCGCCCTGATGATAGAGACAGTAAATATATCTGAAACGTCTGTTAACTTCTACCATATTTCACGGTGCCACAATCCACAAGATTCATCATCCAGACTTGGCCCTGGTTTATGACCGGAAAGGAAAGGAGAAAATTCTTGGCAGATCGAGGAGATCATGAAACTACGAATTTTGATCTCAATGAATTAATTCAGAATCGTACGAAGTGTGGGATTTATGTTAACGGCACTAAACCTTCCAGCCCCGAAGGTTGTTTCAGTAGGTTCGTCCAAAACCTTGGTCCTCATTCTCAGACCCATGAAAACATGGAATCTCACATAATAATGTGCCCCAAAATTATGAAATCTAATTTCTATGGAAACTCCATTTTCCATAAAATAAAAAAAGAACAGTCGGTAGAACGTACCTTTCTTTGGTTTATGTTTCGATGTCGTCTGCTGAGATGGATCCGTCTTTTTGACCGCCTCAGTTTCATGTTTACCATCCGACGTTCCGAAGACCACACTCTTCTTCTTCTTACTTGTAGCATTCGAAACAGAACCATTCTGAGACGCCTTGCTGCTGCTCCTAACGTGTTCCTGACCGCACGCGGCGTCCTGGTCGTTGCAACTCAACTGTTCGTCCACGCGCGACGCGAAAGGAGCGTGTGACTTCGAGCACTGCTGTCTTTTCCTCTGGATTTCGAATTCTTGGGCGTGGTGTTCGAATCCCGGCGTGCGCACATAAGTGGGCCCCTCAGATGACGCGTTACTCACTCCCCCAGGAGAATGAACGCTGTCGTAATCAAACGGCGACGATGAAGGAGGGAAGGGATTGTTATTTACTTCCAAAGATGGCGGAATCGAATCGAATGTTTTCGACCTCGTCGACAACACAGCCTTCTGTTTTTGCGGTCTTTGAACAATCTTTGTTGATTTTGTCAACTCTCTAATTTTTTGTTGATTCAACTTCAAGAAACTTGTTCCACCGTTGTTCTTACTCGAATTTCTATCATCGTCGCCATAAAATGGGTACGTGCAGAAAGGTGACGATAGTAGCAACGCGTTTGGTGATATTAATGTAAGCGATGATTCTGGCGATGGTTTTCTCTTTCCACTCATTCTGAAGTTACGAAAGCAGTCGCATATCCACGAAACATAACTCCGTATAATTCAAACACCGGACCATTTCATTCATCTCTTAGGGCACAGCAATGAACAATCAACAGAGAATTGACGAACTCCGTTCTAAAATGTACACGCACGCTGCCGTGACTGTTCAACGAACGAAAAACTCCTAGGACTCCATTGGAGAACCCCAATCCACAAGTCACTTTTGCCACCAAATACTCTGACCACCTGCCTGTTTTGTTTACGGTTGCTAAGCACATTGGGAAGGCGGAGCGATGGTTGCTAAGGAGACGACGTCATTAACACGTGATTCCCTGACTCGTAATTCATTGGATGATGCCTTATCAGTTCCCTTAATTCCATGTAAATCGCCTATGTAAAACCAAAAGATTAATGTAGCAGAACGAGATTGATAAAAAAGTAACACGTAATTGAAAATACAAGATATTTGTCTAAATGAATTTCAATTGTCCTTTCAAGCACAGATGTTTTGTGTGTTAAAGTACGCACTTCACAAGTTGGCCTGTGTCATCATGAGGTTCATAAATGATTTTTCAGTTTTATTCAATAGGCATTTGTTTCTTTTTACATCGCTAATCTCAAATACCAGTAGAGACCACGAAACGAGAGCTTCGTATTGAAGAATGTTGACCTTAACCAGCAGCGACCATCTTATCGATCTGCAGCAAAATGAATTCTTACGCCGATGAAACTCCACTTGTTAGTAACTTACGTTCTTAAAACACAAAACTATCACAAGTTCCGAGGTGTTAAATTACGGCAAAACAACATATTTAGTCCAAAGATGAATATGCAAAGCGTAAGATGTCATATTAGTCCTGAAGAATGAAACAAATAAACAAAAACTGGGTAACCACACGCAGGAGGAATACGATACGAGGGTATAAGGGTATACAGAACAAGTTCATATATGCAAGAAACGTAGGCGGTTAGTGGCACGGTGACCTACGATCCTGACTGAAGGTTTTCGTTATTTTCCTGACTATTATTATTATTATTAGTGTTCTGTCTGACGACAGGTCCATATGAACAGGATCCTTCCATCCTTTTCTCGGACTGGGACCTGTTCATATACGTTCTTGGCAGATGATCCAGAAGTGGTTTGCCATTGCCTTCTTCTGTGTGTGAATGGAGTAATTGTTGGGATGCCACGGAGAAACCGGGGAAGCCCCCGGAGGAAAACTCCGTGATGCCTAGACCACGGCCTTGCCCAATACAAGTTATAAATTCGGGCACCGCCGGGAATCGAACCCGAGACCCCAGGATTACAAGGCCAGCGTTCTGATGGCTTACCGAACCCTAGCAAATCACCTCAAAATAGACCACAACCACTTCCTTTTACATCCATCCCAACTCATCATTCGTAACCATCTTCCCATTCGACGCCATGTAATCAATGCAGTTGAGAAAGCATCATGAAATCAAGTAATAATCAACTAAACAAATCAGTTAACAGGTTAAGAGAAATATCGACATGTATTGTGTACATTCCACGAAATAAACAATATGCTAACCTCTCTCAGTAGTTCCATAGTTCGGGATTTTCACCGCGGAGACCTGGGTACAGACCCAGGACAATCCATGTAGGATTTATGGCGGATGAAGTGGCAGTGGGACAGATTCTTCGAGTCCTTGGGGATCTTCCTCTTGTCAGTATAATTCCACCCCCGCTCCATATTCAGTAATGTACCATCTGAGGGATCAAACAAAAGAGTATTATAGCGACTGCAGTTCCACAAAGACATAGTCTTGCCCCCTCGTAACATTAACAATGACATCCTCTCAACAACCACTTTCTAATAAGCACATTAAACGGCCGAACATTAACATTTAAAACGTACGTTCATGATATTTTTTCGCGAGAGAGAAATAAGCCTTTGTACTGAAAATATCAAGGTACAAAGAACTCATACAAATTCCGTGTACTCCAGTATCGATTGTGTTTTTTTAAATCTTATTTATTAGGACTATAGGCCTAATTCGTGGATGGAAACTTACAGTATTTTACGTTATAAAGTTGGCGAGTTTAGAATTACTGAATTTGAATACCACAAGCTATACAATCCTTATGTAACGAAACTATGATAAATAGTTCAAAATTCATAATGTAAGAAAACATGATTGGGTTATTTTCCTGTATGGACCCGCTTCGTAAACGTTACGAATTGGGTCATCTTCCTTGATGAGAATAAGAAGCTGAAGGTCGTGTCCACTCACGTGCTGCTAAGTGCCAAGTATCGATTGTGTCTCTCACAGCCTTGTCCTCCTGTTATGTATTATTCATTGTTTCTGACAGCAATTGCTACAGCCACATGCAAAATTATACTATTCACATCAAACACATGCAACCTTCTAAACGTCACCAACAAACGATTTAAATATCAGATTTAAACGTACACGTGTAAACTCATACTACTAAGACCAAATACATGTACTCAAACGTCAACGAAAAGCAATCTACAACTAGATTTAAGCGTCCAACATATAAAATGAATGTGCCCAGTCGTAAGTAACACTGAAATTTAAACATTCACATGCAAAATAATAAGCGATCTGCATGTCAAATTTAAACGTAAAACCGTACTACTGAAATCAAATACGTGCTCAAGGAAGAGTTCTGAAACTCAAATTTAAACATCAAATCGTACAAAACTGTGGTAGTCATATCAAATACACTTACTTGAACTTATGTATAAGAAAGAAAAAAAACGTCCACATGCAAAATTATACTAGCCATATGAAAGACAATTATTCAGAATCATAAATATGCACTCCTAAATTTAAACTGCATGCCAGTAACTTGATTTTTTCTCTCTCCATATTTCAATGCACACATTAAGCTGCACATACCATCAAGAGAAAAGTTCAGTCACATGACATAAAATACAAAAACTCAAATGTAAATATGAACTAGCAAATACCAAAAATTGGAAACATAATTACACTAGTATAGAAAGAATGAAATAATTAAGAATATCAGTTACCTGTACACAAGTGAAGACTTAACTTCCTTGGTTGTGAAATTCAGCAATATTTACGTCTGTACAACTTAAGTTCATATTTCAAGAGCACTTGAATTTTTCTCATAATTTTCAATCCAAGCTCCAGCTGCTACCAAGTGCTCTTTAACTGCGGATAACAGCCGTGGCAGCAGCGTGAAGCCGAGCACTTGGAGCCGTACGACGCCGACATCCAGAAGAAGCGATTCATCGCCACGCCCTCTACAGCACGCTGTTCGCGCACAGTGGTACATCGTTTGTGTGTTGGTAATTACATCGAGCAATACATAAAGGTCTTGAAGCAACAAACCATTCCTCACCGTCATCCAAGTTGATAGAAAATCCAACTGCTTACTCTTCCATATTTGTAAACCCTTACATTCATTCATTTGGCAGGCACGCTCCATAAAAGACAGACGCCCTCATTTCCATCACATGCGGTTTTATTATTACCGTAAATGACTGCGTTTGTCAAACTCAGATTTGCTTCCGGGTCAATTTTATAACCTGACGTGGCCCAGGCATCATCGCTAGAGAAAGGAAAGATGGGTCTCATATGTGCACAATACTGAAAATGTAATTAATTATTCTTAAACCTGATGTATAATGGTTATTTATACACTGGTATTTTGACACTAATTTAATCTTAACAATTAAAAATGCAGAATAATAATTCCAAGTCCCACGAACAACATCATATTGAAAGTACAGTACTGAAAATTATACAAAAACACTATAATTTGTTGTAAGTCTGCCAACATTTCTGCGCTTCAATGAGGGGATTTTTGCAAAATCTAAGAGAGCCACATCGTTCCGCTTCGCAAGCTGCTCTGACAGGCCTTGCTTTAGGCACTTTTTGTTAGCATACACCGCCAGAGATTAGAAATAACTAACTAACTAACTAACTAGATGGCTTACCGAACCCGAAGGTTCATCACCGAATTAACCGAAGCCCTCCACAACCCAAACCATTTGTAAAACTGTCGATGTTGGTCCTCTGGGTTGTAATGTTGTGTTTACTTGCAGGCAGACACCAATACTGCCTCAATCTTCAGGGTTGAAGATGGAGAAAGTGGGCCTATGTTTCTCCAAACGGTGGCTACAACCCAAAGACAAACATCGCCATCTTCACTGTGAGAAACTAAAATCTCACATTCATACCACCGTTTATAAGTCAGGAACTGGGGTAGCTCAGTCGATACAGCGCATGACTGCAGACTAGGTGACCAAGATTCAATCCCCAGCAAGGGCAAAAGAGTTTTACTATAGCGTCTCCGGAACTGACCCAGCCTCCCATTCAGAGCACCGAGGATCCTCTCCCAGGAGATGAAGTGTGGCCGGGGCGCGATACTGACCGCTCATCCCCACCTAGAGCTGTGATCGAAGACGAGCAGGAGCTATATCTCCTCTCCGTCCCAAATGCCTCCACGGCACGTAGCGGGACAGCTTTATTTTAATCAGTAAGTTATGCTACTAACATCAAATCCTGCAGACGTGAACACCAGACCCGGCTGTCCGTGAACAGACAGCGACTGCAATTCGTACGCAGTCGAACTGGATCCTTGCTGCGAAATAGCCGACACAGGTATCTGAACAGCTGACATGGGGAGTTGAATGTGAAGGGGGACACCGTTACTTCCGTTTGTCACCGCATCTGTCGACGCTACAGGATTGTCCGGCTGAGCAGTCGTGAGTTGGATGTACTGGGACGTCACATTTCCAAGGTTCATATCATCAACTAACGGAGCCAAGTGAACAGCATCAGCTAAAGTAAACACAGTATTGGGAGGTAGAGACTGATTCTGTCCGGGGTCCAATTGAAGCAAGATTCTTGAACTGTTTGCAGCAGCATTTCCGTTCTGGATAAGCGCAGTGTGGGCGCTTTGTGACTGTGCAGGATCTATCTGTAAGAGGATCCTGTTGGGGCTTGAATCGCCGACTCCGCTGCCTTGGGACATTGCTTGGAGCTGATGTTGCTGTGTTGCGTCTAGCTGCACGATGATCTTTGAGTTACCGTTAGTTGCATTACTGTTCACAATGAGAGGCTGGTTTTGAATTTGTGTCGGTTCCAAGTGCACTAATATCCTCGAATTTGAATTTCCTACGGTCCCTTCCTGGGTAACTGGCATATTCTGCGTCTGCATCGAGTTCAACTGCACTAAAATACTGGCGTTCACTTTTTCATTTTTGATAATTTCTTGACTGTCTTGTTGTTGACTTGAATTCAGCTGAACCAGAATTCTAGACTTGTCTCTATCAACTTGGGAATCCGTCGGCACAGAACCCAAATTCATCTGTTCTGGTAAGTTCTCCACTGCCGACGTTTGTTCAGGCGTCGCGGCTGCAATTTCACCGTCTTCATTCGGACCTGACACCACTAGTGGGTCATCAGGGTCTTCATTCTCGTTGCGATCACTTGACAAGTGAGACGTCGAAATGTTTTCAACAGAAACAGGAGGCGAAGCTGTTGCGGCTGATACAGAGTCGACAGAATCTGGGTGCTGCTTCCTGTGGAGTGAGACCAGAACTAGACAAGAGAGGCAGACCTTATGTTACGACACAGCGTAATCTTCAGAAATAAAATATATCAACCACAAATGACTGAAATAAACTGTTTACACATAAAGTCTATTCAGGATGTGTATGAAGCAGACATCAATAAACACTGGCCAGGGAGGAACATAATATAAACTTCTTACTGGATAAAAGCCAGTTACTAGTAGCACATCTACAGATGTGTTTTTATAATATAAAAATTAATGTGTTTATGCAGAATTAAAACTGCAGAAACATCTGAGAACAATAACCATTTTATTATGAATGAGGGTACAGGAAGTAATTTCACTTATTTGAAATCTCCTGTTTCTATGTAACTGATTGAAAAGTAATAGTAACTGGCTGCCTTAGTAAGATTTCATGAAAATAATGGCAATGTTCATGTCCCAACAAGCAATTTAGTCACTAAAAGAAAATGAAAAGCAGTAAAACGCTACTAGTTGCAAAACAGCTTTCTTCTAAACTATGTACAACATAACCAATAAAACCCCGAGTAAAACGTGTGGACGAGCATAAATTAAATGCAGATCACCAGTTAACAAGCACTGCGTTATGCAAGAGCCACAAATACGACCAGTTTATATTTTGAATAAACATACTTATTATGAAGTTTCAGATCCCAGCCAGCTGCATATGACTTATTGCAAATAGAGCAATGGTAACGTTTCTCTCCGCGATGACGCCGCATGTGTTCATCCAATTTTGATTTGCGGATGAAACCTTTACCACATGTCTGGCACAGATGTGGTCGTTCACCTGCGTACAAATTTAAATAATTTGTAGCCATTTGTAAGACAGCTTCCTTTTCAGAGATAATCAAGAAGGTTAATGCATACCTGTATGTATCCTTGTATGGTATTTCAATTTCTCCTTCAGCCGAAACATCTTGCTACAATAACTGCAAGAGAATCTGCGTGTTTCAGTGTGAGTATCAAGGTGTGCCATTAAACTGCCATAGTTGCTGAACTTGTTTCCACACATCTACATAAAAATAAAAAGTGATTTATTATCTGTTATCATAATTGTAATATAATAGGTTTTATTGAAACAAACATCAAAAATACATACTATATAATATAATCATATAATCTGAGCTACTAGCAAAATCCCTAAATAAAGCAAAAATAAAATAAATAAACAAATCAAAAGGAAGATCACCAGTGGTACACTGTACAGCAAAACTGATCCATTGGTGTCTATAAGAATGATAGACATAGCACAATCAGGAGACAAATGGAAGGACGTATGAATCTTGCTTACGGAATTGAAAGGAAGGAAATCTGTTTCTCTGCAATCCTAAGAGTGAAATATAAAAAAAAACCACATTCCTGCAAAACCAATGAATACCCCCTTAAACTGATAAATCTTATATTTACAGTACATACCTGACATAAAAATTTCCTTTCAATACGATGGGTGTTAATTTTGTGGTTTGTGAGCTGTATGCGCTTTGTGAAGTTCTTACCACACTCTTCACATGAAAATGGACATTGCTCTGTTTCATGGCGCTTCACTTTATGCTTCTGGAGTGATGTTCGGAACTTGAACGTAAGACCACATTCATCACAGAAGAAACTATTTGCACCCCTGTAAAACCACACATATCATAACATTTCAGCTCAATATATTCTATATGCAACATGTCATTTTGCATGTACATAAGACAAATATGATGAATTTAAATAATTCAGCTACTGTTCAAAATAACAACTACACAATGCACGGATGAAACAAAAAAAATCACTGGGACTTCAATCCTGGTTCTATTTCAAATATCAAAATTATGAAACAAGTAGGCAGATTTCAATAACCCATATGATATTTTAAAATATAAAAATACAGCATTAAACTTTACCTGGAATTTAACCCAGAACTATCAGAAGTTTGTACATAAAATCAGCAAATGCACTGGAAGAAGGTATAATGCTATGCATCTGATATATGCATTACAATCATAATCACTGCTGATTTCAATAGACCAGCATTTTTCTCTGACATGAATCCACACGGCACCAAATGCTACAGTCGAACAGTCAGCCCTTCTGCTTCATATGCGGGAGATCTCTGGTTGAAATCTTGAACCAGAGATTGTGGACTTTGTGGGTTTCAACATTCCCTCCAGACAAATACTGTGACTTGGCCATGAATACTTCCATCCTACCCTTTCCAATTATTTAACAACACAAAATCTATTGCATTTGTCACACAGTGGTAAATGACAGAAGACACAATGATTAAAGCTAGCGACTAGTGCAATAATATGGACTATTGTCAGCAAAACCACAAAATAATCTCAGCCAGATGACAAAAACTGGGCAATTCCCAACATAGAGCCAAAGTGCTAACTGGTACACAGCAAAGAATAATGGTCATAACTGTAGCCAGTGCTTCACTTACCTATGTGATTTCTTTTTATGCAGATTAAGGTCCTTCTTGAACGTATATTCCTCAGTACATAGTTCACACTTGTAGGGTCCCTGAGTACAGCGTGGGAGGTGATATGACATGCGTGCCATGCTGCGATATTCTTCGTGGCACAATCCACACTTGTACTTCTTTAGGGACGTCAGTATTTCCAGGTCTGTTATCAACTGCCTTTCAGTTAACTGCATATAATTATGCTAAAAATACATTAATATTTCTGAAGAATTTGTTCAATTGGTTTTATGAAGTAAATTCAGGAAAAATTATAACTTTATTTTAATATATGAGGCATAATCATTTCAAACTCCAACATGTACTACAAAAATTGTTTTATTAACTAATTAACCAACTACAAGGAGCAGAGTTCTTTTTCATAAGCTTAGCTGGTCAAGAAATTCTCCCCCCTTATAAAAAACTCAATTACTGATTACCATGTTCATAAAAGCCTGCCACTGGATTCTGTTCTGGGCAAGAAAATTGAACCCACAGCATCAAAAAATATATTTTGTAACTATGCATTCACTTTTTGGCTAGCTGATTACATGACCAGAAGACTACAGTTTACCTAACAGGTGGAAGAAGGTTGGGTCAAAAGTACGGTGTACCATTCTCTAAGCAGAAGAACTGTTCAACCACTATTGACAGGACAGTTGGACCTGGACAGGTTACACCTTCACAGTGAGTGAAGGACTGTGGGATGCTCACAGAATAATAACACTGGATTTCTGGTACTCATTTTGGTTTCAAGCTACAGATTCAAATGTTTATATATTTTTAAGATTAATTTGAATATTATCCCATATGCCTACAACATTTTTAATTAGGGGGTAGGGAATATGGTAGAGGTAAACTAAAGTTCGTTCTGTCTTGGCTCCTTTGACACAAAGAAGACATCATGTTCAGAGCCATTATGCTGGTAAGCACAAGTATCAGCTCATCATAAAAAGAGAGAACTGCTTACCAACGTGGTTTCTCCATCCAGATTGTTTCCTCCATTCTTGCAAATATGCACTTCAAACTCCTTGCAAGTCTTGAACACCACTAAGCACATATTACAGCAGTAGAAAGGCAAATTCTCAGGTAGTGATTGTATTTGGTCATTTAGCCTTGTCGAGACTTCTGGTACTGTGCACGAGGCTTTGTTGATGTCTTCAGAGGTTATGTCACCTCCTATTTTGTGAGTCTGTAAGCAAGCAATGCAGATGCATAATGTATGAAAGATATATACAAGAGAATATCTGACTAAGCAACAAGACTGGAAAGGTGTTCATGAATTTTGACTATATATCTTTTAGAAATGCACTCTTTGTGTATCTTGCAAATACACTGTACTAATATAATGTAATATCTTATTTTTTACACATATCAATGAAATGTATCCAATTCTATTATAACTAATTTTGTGTTAGATTATTTTATACATGCATCTTTAATAATATTAATAAATAATGTAATGAATAACACAGCACTTTAACTTCTTACTGAGAAATCACTCTTATTTATGTATGTACTAAAAATAAAAATGTGACAACATGCTTCTTATCTATTATTTGTGTCTGCGACAATAAGACAACAACACTTGTACATTCCAACTAGGCAAACGTATGCATTGAATCATATATGGCTGCCTTGTAACAAAATGGCAATTTATATAAATTACCTTATGCATTAGGCTATAGCATGTATGGTCTACAAATAACCACACATAAAGAAAAAAATGGGAACAGAGAAGTAATTTTATTTTACAGATACAAATGAAGAGTTGACAGGAGTATGTATTTTTACAAATAAAACTTACCCGTCTTATATGTGCTGTTAAGAATTTTCTTGCTGTGAACACCATATTGCAGTTTTTACAACTGTGTATTTTACTGCCTCTAGATTTTGCTTTGGTTGCTGATCGTACATCTTCCTGACATTTTGCAACATGTACGGCTAATTTTGTTTCGTTAACAAAATTGCTGTGGAGTTTAAAAATTTAGGAATTAGTCAAGTACTAGAACATTTTCTACAGCTGTAAGTAAAGAATATAGCACAGAATTGATAATCAGGAGGAAGAGTAAAAACAACAACAAACAATTACAGTGCATTTCTTTCTGTTTTATTTATGGTTAAAACTTTTACAAGGTTCTGTTTTTAGTTACACTATAGTTTGTAAACTCTACTCTTCACAGCCAATTTACCGCAGCTCATTTACATGAGATGGCAAGACTGCCTGATTTATCAAAGCTTGCAACTCTGCAGGTGATACACGTGGATGATTATGTGAGTCTGAGTACAGCAGCAGCCATAACCAGCATACTGAAAATCACTTATACGATGCTGGGACCAAGGCATGGTGTTACATGGTTTTATATTAAACAATATCTACCATTCTATTCATTATGATAACTTACTACACCTTGCATAATGGTGCTTTGTGAGGGGTTCATGATGATGATGTTATATCATATTCAATTTATGTATGTTTAACGGTGTATGTCCTTGTTGGGACTAGCAGTTAAGGGCAGGATCAAATATAACTTCATTTCAAAAAGTATTCATATATATATATATATATGTTTTTATCTATAATACAAAATTGTAGGAATTAAATGTTAGGCAACATATAGATTTTAAATACACATATATTTACTCACATACTCAAGTGGCTATAAATGACTTCTAGGCAGGATGTGTATGTTCTTTAAAATACTAAACTCTCTTGAGAGGTTGTAATAAAACTTTACTGGGGGATTACATTTCACCAAAGCCCTTCTTACTGTGAAACAAGGATTATTTCTTCATTAATATGCATCTATCAGGAAAAGATTTCAGCTAAAACTTATAAATCTTAATAAGACAACCTATTTGATATCACGTATAATGCTTACTGCAAGTGATATGAAACAACATGCTAATCTATCCACACAGCACCTCTCCCACGTGAAACTATCATTAAACTGATAAAGACATCCACAAGAAGTTTCTCAGAATGATCTTGACCAAGTTCCCCTGCACAGCTGAAACTCACAAACTACTATGAAATTTCTACTCTATATGCTCTGATTTAATATCTTACCAGTTACTTACCAACTGCATATCTCACACTTAAAACATTTGACTTCAGTAATTTCTGATGCTGTTTCATTCTTTCTCACTTGTTTTTCTTGACTTTCATTTTTCTTTATATGTGATAACTTAATTGCTCTCTGTTTTAATCGTGCACTTCCAGTTTCCTTACGTGATACCATACAAACATGTATCTTAGAATTCTTAGTGAGAATTTGTGTTTCAGAGATGTTGTCATCACTGTATAAAGAGAGTGCTAATGGCTCTTCCTTGCCTGCCAAGTCTTCTGTTTTAACTGACAATGCTGCTGGTTCACTTGTCTGAGAATTTGACTCTGTTATGTTCAAGTCTGAATTTGAAACTGAAATCTGAAGTGTGTCCACAAATTCCTTCTGTTCACTACTTTCCTTAGAGAGAAGCTGAAAATGTGATGATGTGTAATTAATTTTAAGAAGTGTTTAATTTTATTAACTGAAGTATTTACATTTAAAAAGATAAATCTACGAATACCTGTAGTTGATTTGCCAGCTCTGTTACAATGGTCAGGAAATGAACTGCTAATGGATCAAGCAATCCCATTTTCACCTTATAATTGAATATCAAGGTTTCAAAAATGTCAAGTGTTGCTGCCTGTAATAAATTGTTGCAACGTTTACAGTTACAGGAGATTATGGAATGTTCCTCACAAACTAAACTAATCTATATGATATTTGAGGTTTTCATGGTAGTGAAAATATACATCGTGATCTACTGGGCTGCAATGCTGTGTAAGTAGCTACCAACAATTTGTATAAATGCAATATTCCTCTGACTACCTACAACATTATACAGTGTCACAACCTCTGCCATGATCCATATTCTCAAAACTAACCTATGGGCCTACCATTCTAACCTATAGTAACTAAAGAGAATCAACCACACAAAACCTAACCAAGAAAGTGATCAATACATGTTCTATTCTATTCAACAGCATTAGTTACTCTCCAAACACAGAAATCAGCATAAACAAAAATGTACAGGAATGTTATTTTTATGTCTTTACTTAAAAAGCAAAGAAAGCTGTAATTCACATAACCCTAAAAATGTGATTCAAAATAAACTAAAGAAATCGATTTACGGTCCACCGACGATATTATTCCACACGTATAATAAAAGATACTGAACATTAGCGATACACCGATAAATTCTTACTTTCTGTAAGAACAGTTCCAAATTCATTAATGTTTTCCTGACGATACTGTCACACAACGCCATTTTTTAGTGTATAGTTTTTACTGACATCTGATGGCAAAATACTTTGAAACAAAATCAATATTTAATGCACCATCTTGTTACACACATGTGAACCAAGGAATAACATCTCTTCATGTGTTCCAGTGTAATGGTAATTTATGCCCTACCTACATTATTCTATCCTATACAAAAATGTCATCATAAGCTGTCAACTAGAAAAAAATGTAAATGGTAGTCCACAATCAAAAACATAACCGCCACACATGGCAGTTGCCTTGGACACAGCTGATAAGGCCAATCAATCACTATCAAGAAATAACCTTAAATAAAAAGTAGGTCATCATTGAATGTTATCAGTGTAAGCAAAGTGTATGAGATAATTCTGTATGCTTGCTACTTTGTAAAATACTTATCTAGTGTTTCTAAGTGGATGGGTGCTGCTTGTCTTCTTGACAAATTATGGACCCCTGTTACACACAGTTTAGAGTTGCAGGACATGCCTTTAGTCATCTCTGAAAAAGAATCCTGTTAGAATCTGCCAACACCATGAAACGTCTGCTACAAAGAAGAAACTGGATTATGATACTGCAGGTACAATGCCTAATTCTTTCAGAAATTCCTGTTAACAGCATATGTAATTTTAATGCCTGGGCCACATAGCTTCTGTATATGATGCCAGTATAATTCAAGATGGAGCTGAAACAAAATTTTTGAGGTAAAGTACTCTTGTTATTTGTGACTAATAAAACACATTAATCATATTTAATACCTGAATTACTGCTTCATGAAATTTATACATATTTAACTGCATGAGGAAAATTTCGTTGGTACCAGGTTTATTTTTGATCATGCTAATCACATTTACAAATAGTGGCAATGAGATTAAATTGCTAAAATTTTTAATGTCAAAGGTAGGATGGCTTCAGCTATAAAAAAGAACTGTACATTATCATGATTTCTGTAATAATGATGAGTATCAAAGCCATCAAACCAGATATTTTTAACCATTCTCCAGCAGGGTTAAGTGACAGTTAAATTGTATACCAGAGAAATGCAAAATTTAATGTAAACAACCACAATACATATATGATTACAATTTTTTTTTAAAATCTGACATTACATTCAGAATACTATACAGATTCACACTGGTGAACCCAATGCTTTAAAAGTAAAAACTAGTACATGAAACTTTGAAACATTTTCAAATAGTGTCCATTCTAGTGCATGCTAGGGACAAACAGCATATATTCTTAGTGGTATTGTCTTCTTCTCAGTTGGCTGTTTGTCTCTTCAATAATATGAAAAAGTGATTTGTTGAATAACAACTCAGAAGTATCCACAATTTCAAATGCATGTTTTGATGCACTTTGAGGAGTGAAAGTGCCTGTGGAATTTGTTCTTCATTCAGTGTAGTTTTATACTTTTTCCCATTATCACAATTTACAACAGCATCACAAAGAGCACATTGATCAACTGCAACTTCAAACTATCCAACTTTTTCAGAATAATTCACCACCAACTTCCAGTACCACATAATCATGCATAATTTTCTACAAAACTATGCCACATTTGGAACATTAACATTCATATTATAAATACTTTATACAAAATAAAATTCCTTTAAAATATTAACACATATAAATAAAACACTGCAATATAAGGAACATATGCCATACCAAAATTAACAGCAATACATATATTGTATTTTGTACCTCAAAATATTTCATATACTGATTATGTTTCATTACAGTAAAGTTTATTTATGCACCTGTTCCAGGCCAACACATCTGTAGTTGTTCTGTTACTGTCTTTGTGATACTCAATGGCTGTTTCTCATTTTTCTACCATAATTCACTTCTATATATACCCTCACAGGTTTTTCCTTTTGATATACCACATGCTTGGCTAAATGCAGGCTGATTTTCTAATGAAAAGATTATAAATAATAATAAATATAAGATAATGAAGAGAACTAACACAGAACTTCAGATATGGCACTGTTATAATCTATATATATATATATATATATATGTAGGGTCCCTGAGTACAGCGTGGGAGGTGATATGACATGCGTGCCATGCTGCGATATTCTTCGTGGCACAATCCACACTTGTACTTCTTTAGGGACGTCAGTATTTCCAGGTCTGTTATCAACTGCCTTTCAGTTAACTGCATATAATTATGCTAAAAATACATTAATATTTCTGAAGAATTTGTTCAATTGGTTTTATGAAGTAAATTCAGGAAAAATTATAACTTTATTTTAATATATGAGGCATAATCATTTCAAACTCCAACATGTACTACAAAAATTGTTTTATTAACTAATTAACCAACTACAAGGAGCAGAGTTCTTTTTCATAAGCTTAGCTGGTCAAGAAATTCTCCCCCCTTATAAAAAACTCAATTACTGATTACCATGTTCATAAAAGCCTGCCACTGGATTCTGTTCTGGGCAAGAAAATTGAACCCACAGCATCAAAAAATATATTTTGTAACTATGCATTCACTTTTTGGCTAGCTGATTACATGACCAGAAGACTACAGTTTACCTAACAGGTGGAAGAAGGTTGGGTCAAAAGTACGGTGTACCATTCTCTAAGCAGAAGAACTGTTCAACCACTATTGACAGGACAGTTGGACCTGGACAGGTTACACCTTCACAGTGAGTGAAGGACTGTGGGATGCTCACAGAATAATAACACTGGATTTCTGGTACTCATTTTGGTTTCAAGCTACAGATTCAAATGTTTATATATTTTTAAGATTAATTTGAATATTATCCCATATGCCTACAACATTTTTAATTAGGGGGTAGGGAATATGGTAGAGGTAAACTAAAGTTCGTTCTGTCTTGGCTCCTTTGACACAAAGAAGACATCATGTTCAGAGCCATTATGCTGGTAAGCACAAGTATCAGCTCATCATAAAAAGAGAGAACTGCTTACCAACGTGGTTTCTCCATCCAGATTGTTTCCTCCATTCTTGCAAATATGCACTTCAAACTCCTTGCAAGTCTTGAACACCACTAAGCACATATTACAGCAGTAGAAAGGCAAATTCTCAGGTAGTGATTGTATTTGGTCATTTAGCCTTGTCGAGACTTCTGGTACTGTGCACGAGGCTTTGTTGATGTCTTCAGAGGTTATGTCACCTCCTATTTTGTGAGTCTGTAAGCAAGCAATGCAGATGCATAATGTATGAAAGATATATACAAGAGAATATCTGACTAAGCAACAAGACTGGAAAGGTGTTCATGAATTTTGACTATATATCTTTTAGAAATGCACTCTTTGTGTATCTTGCAAATACACTGTACTAATATAATGTAATATCTTATTTTTTACACATATCAATGAAATGTATCCAATTCTATTATAACTAATTTTGTGTTAGATTATTTTATACATGCATCTTTAATAATATTAATAAATAATGTAATGAATAACACAGCACTTTAACTTCTTACTGAGAAATCACTCTTATTTATGTATGTACTAAAAATAAAAATGTGACAACATGCTTCTTATCTATTATTTGTGTCTGCGACAATAAGACAACAACACTTGTACATTCCAACTAGGCAAACGTATGCATTGAATCATATATGGCTGCCTTGTAACAAAATGGCAATTTATATAAATTACCTTATGCATTAGGCTATAGCATGTATGGTCTACAAATAACCACACATAAAGAAAAAAATGGGAACAGAGAAGTAATTTTATTTTACAGATACAAATGAAGAGTTGACAGGAGTATGTATTTTTACAAATAAAACTTACCCGTCTTATATGTGCTGTTAAGAATTTTCTTGCTGTGAACACCATATTGCAGTTTTTACAACTGTGTATTTTACTGCCTCTAGATTTTGCTTTGGTTGCTGATCGTACATCTTCCTGACATTTTGCAACATGTACGGCTAATTTTGTTTCGTTAACAAAATTGCTGTGGAGTTTAAAAATTTAGGAATTAGTCAAGTACTAGAACATTTTCTACAGCTGTAAGTAAAGAATATAGCACAGAATTGATAATCAGGAGGAAGAGTAAAAACAACAACAAACAATTACAGTGCATTTCTTTCTGTTTTATTTATGGTTAAAACTTTTACAAGGTTCTGTTTTTAGTTACACTATAGTTTGTAAACTCTACTCTTCACAGCCAATTTACCGCAGCTCATTTACATGAGATGGCAAGACTGCCTGATTTATCAAAGCTTGCAACTCTGCAGGTGATACACGTGGATGATTATGTGAGTCTGAGTACAGCAGCAGCCATAACCAGCATACTGAAAATCACTTATACGATGCTGGGACCAAGGCATGGTGTTACATGGTTTTATATTAAACAATATCTACCATTCTATTCATTATGATAACTTACTACACCTTGCATAATGGTGCTTTGTGAGGGGTTCATGATGATGATGTTATATCATATTCAATTTATGTATGTTTAACGGTGTATGTCCTTGTTGGGACTAGCAGTTAAGGGCAGGATCAAATATAACTTCATTTCAAAAAGTATTCATATATATATATATATATGTTTTTATCTTTAATACAAAATTGTAGGAATTAAATGTTAGGCAACATATAGATTTTAAATACACATATATTTACTCACATACTCAAGTGGCTATAAATGACTTCTAGGCAGGATGTGTATGTTCTTTAAAATACTAAACTCTCTTGAGAGGTTGTAATAAAACTTTACTGGGGGATTACATTTCACCAAAGCCCTTCTTACTGTGAAACAAGGATTATTTCTTCATTAATATGCATCTATCAGGAAAAGATTTCAGCTAAAACTTATAAATCTTAATAAGACAACCTATTTGATATCACGTATAATGCTTACTGCAAGTGATATGAAACAACATGCTAATCTATCCACACAGCACCTCTCCCACGTGAAACTATCATTAAACTGATAAAGACATCCACAAGAAGTTTCTCAGAATGATCTTGACCAAGTTCCCCTGCACAGCTGAAACTCACAAACTACTATGAAATTTCTACTCTATATGCTCTGATTTAATATCTTACCAGTTACTTACCAACTGCATATCTCACACTTAAAACATTTGACTTCAGTAATTTCTGATGCTGTTTCATTCTTTCTCACTTGTTTTTCTTGACTTTCATTTTTCTTTATATGTGATAACTTAATTGCTCTCTGTTTTAATCGTGCACTTCCAGTTTCCTTACGTGATACCATACAAACATGTATCTTAGAATTCTTAGTGAGAATTTGTGTTTCAGAGATGTTGTCATCACTGTATAAAGAGAGTGCTAATGGCTCTTCCTTGCCTGCCAAGTCTTCTGTTTTAACTGACAATGCTGCTGGTTCACTTGTCTGAGAATTTGACTCTGTTATGTTCAAGTCTGAATTTGAAACTGAAATCTGAAGTGTGTCCACAAATTCCTTCTGTTCACTACTTTCCTTAGAGAGAAGCTGAAAATGTGATGATGTGTAATTAATTTTAAGAAGTGTTTAATTTTATTAACTGAAGTATTTACATTTAAAAAGATAAATCTACGAATACCTGTAGTTGATTTGCCAGCTCTGTTACAATGGTCAGGAAATGAACTGCTAATGGATCAAGCAATCCCATTTTCACCTTATAATTGAATATCAAGGTTTCAAAAATGTCAAGTGTTGCTGCCTGTAATAAATTGTTGCAACGTTTACAGTTACAGGAGATTATGGAATGTTCCTCACAAACTAAACTAATCTATATGATATTTGAGGTTTTCATGGTAGTGAAAATATACATCGTGATCTACTGGGCTGCAATGCTGTGTAAGTAGCTACCAACAATTTGTATAAATGCAATATTCCTCTGACTACCTACAACATTATACAGTGTCACAACCTCTGCCATGATCCATATTCTCAAAACTAACCTATGGGCCTACCATTCTAACCTATAGTAACTAAAGAGAATCAACCACACAAAACCTAACCAAGAAAGTGATCAATACATGTTCTATTCTATTCAACAGCATTAGTTACTCTCCAAACACAGAAATCAGCATAAACAAAAATGTACAGGAATGTTATTTTTATGTCTTTACTTAAAAAGCAAAGAAAGCTGTAATTCACATAACCCTAAAAATGTGATTCAAAATAAACTAAAGAAATCGATTTACGGTCCACCGACGATATTATTCCACACGTATAATAAAAGATACTGAACATTAGCGATACACCGATAAATTCTTACTTTCTGTAAGAACAGTTCCAAATTCATTAATGTTTTCCTGACGATACTGTCACACAACGCCATTTTTTAGTGTATAGTTTTTACTGACATCTGATGGCAAAATACTTTGAAACAAAATCAATATTTAATGCACCATCTTGTTACACACATGTGAACCAAGGAATAACATCTCTTCATGTGTTCCAGTGTAATGGTAATTTATGCCCTACCTACATTATTCTATCCTATACAAAAATGTCATCATAAGCTGTCAACTAGAAAAAAATGTAAATGGTAGTCCACAATCAAAAACATAACCGCCACACATGGCAGTTGCCTTGGACACAGCTGATAAGGCCAATCAATCACTATCAAGAAATAACCTTAAATAAAAAGTAGGTCATCATTGAATGTTATCAGTGTAAGCAAAGTGTATGAGATAATTCTGTATGCTTGCTACTTTGTAAAATACTTATCTAGTGTTTCTACTTATCTCAGTGGATGGGTGCTGCTTGTCTTCTTGACAAATTATGGACCCCTGTTACACACAGTTTAGAGTTGCAGGACATGCCTTTAGTCATCTCTGAAAAAGAATCCTGTTAGAATCTGCCAACACCATGAAACGTCTGCTACAAAGAAGAAACTGGATTATGATACTGCAGGTACAATGCCTAATTCTTTCAGAAATTCCTGTTAACAGCATATGTAATTTTAATGCCTGGGCCACATAGCTTCTGTATATGATGCCAGTATAATTCAAGATGGAGCTGAAACAAAATTTTTGAGGTAAAGTACTCTTGTTATTTGTGACTAATAAAACACATTAATCATATTTAATACCTGAATTACTGCTTCATGAAATTTATACATATTTAACTGCATGAGGAAAATTTCGTTGGTACCAGGTTTATTTTTGATCATGCTAATCACATTTACAAATAGTGGCAATGAGATTAAATTGCTAAAATTTTTAATGTCAAAGGTAGGATGGCTTCAGCTATAAAAAAGAACTGTACATTATCATGATTTCTGTAATAATGATGAGTATCAAAGCCATCAAACCAGATATTTTTAACCATTCTCCAGCAGGGTTAAGTGACAGTTAAATTGTATACCAGAGAAATGCAAAATTTAATGTAAACAACCACAATACATATATGATTACAATTTTTTTTTAAAATCTGACATTACATTCAGAATACTATACAGATTCACACTGGTGAACCCAATGCTTTAAAAGTAAAAACTAGTACATGAAACTTTGAAACATTTTCAAATAGTGTCCATTCTAGTGCATGCTAGGGACAAACAGCATATATTCTTAGTGGTATTGTCTTCTTCTCAGTTGGCTGTTTGTCTCTTCAATAATATGAAAAAGTGATTTGTTGAATAACAACTCAGAAGTATCCACAATTTCAAATGCATGTTTTGATGCACTTTGAGGAGTGAAAGTGCCTGTGGAATTTGTTCTTCATTCAGTGTAGTTTTATACTTTTTCCCATTATCACAATTTACAACAGCATCACAAAGAGCACATTGATCAACTGCAACTTCAAACTATCCAACTTTTTCAGAATAATTCACCACCAACTTCCAGTACCACATAATCATGCATAATTTTCTACAAAACTATGCCACATTTGGAACATTAACATTCATATTATAAATACTTTATACAAAATAAAATTCCTTTAAAATATTAACACATATAAATAAAACACTGCAATATAAGGAACATATGCCATACCAAAATTAACAGCAATACATATATTGTATTTTGTACCTCAAAATATTTCATATACTGATTATGTTTCATTACAGTAAAGTTTATTTATGCACCTGTTCCAGGCCAACACATCTGTAGTTGTTCTGTTACTGTCTTTGTGATACTCAATGGCTGTTTCTCATTTTTCTACCATAATTCACTTCTATATATACCCTCACAGGTTTTTCCTTTTGATATACCACATGCTTGGCTAAATGCAGGCTGATTTTCTAATGAAAAGATTATAAATAATAATAAATATAAGATAATGAAGAGAACTAACACAGAACTTCAGATATGGCACTGTTATAATCTATATATATATATATATATATATATAAAATGCAAAGATGTTAAAATCAAAATACATCAGATTATAATTTTACCTGTTGTTCTGTATGACTGTGAAACTTTGTCTCTCACATTACAAGAGGAGCACAGATTCAGGGTGTTTGAGAACAAAGTGCTAAGAAGAATATTTGGTCGTAGGAAGTTGCATAATGAGGAACTTCATAATTTGCAATATTCAAACAAATATCAGGATTAACAAGTCAAGAAGGAAGAAACGGGAGTAATATGTTGCATGCATGGGGGAGATCAGAAATGCACAAAGATTTTGGTTGGGAAGCTTCAAGGATACAGATTACCTTCGCGAACAAGCATAGACAGGAGGATAATATAAAATTGGATCTTAGGGAAACAAGGTATGAGAGTGTAGAGCAGATTCATCTGGCTCATGACAGGAATGAGCTGTGGGCTCTTGTGCATATGGTAATGAACATTCAAGTTCTATAAACATGGGTAATTTCATGACTAGCCAATGACCCACTGGCTTCTCAAGAAGCGCTTTGCTCCAAATGTGTGTTTTTACATGTACAGATCTGTACACTATTGGTGCTCAGCTACACAGATTATACAGCATCAAATAAAATGGGAAGGTGACAATGAATGGTGAGTATTGAGAATTTGGAATAAGGCTGTCATGACTACTACCACAGCACTTGCCTGAGGAATTTTGGAAAATCACAAAGTTCCTGTCACTTTAGGTGGTTTAGTTGGAAAATTAATGAAGGTAAGGCACTAAAGATACTACTGATCACATACAAAATTATGCTGGGTTTCATTTATAGGGTTTGACATTGTGTCAACAACATTCATTGCTACCTTTTATTATACAATTCTTTTCATTTTAATCGGCCCTGCCCACTGATTGCTCTAGTTCATAACCTTGAATATTCTAGTCTTCTTGCATATCACAACATTTTTAATTAGAATTCATCACCCATCTCCAAAAAAACCATATATATTCTTTTATTTCAAAGTATTATGATAAAATGCTTTTTGCAAATGCTGTGATGTCTTCGTGGATAAAACATATATTTTCTACCAGTATTGGTACATGTTTTCACCTGTGTCACCAAGAAGTTTGATATTAACAACCCAAATTGGCAGTGTATTCAGTTTCCTTACTTTCAACTAAATCATAAGCTTTTTAGCCTTTCCAAAACACTAGTCAGTGACTCATGGACAGAACTGAATGCTGTTACCATCTCTTTTATATACTGTGAGTCTGCCTTCTACTGTGGCAAAAAAGAATATAGTTGGTACACTATTTCTGCTCGAAAGAGAGATGACTTTTCCAGACAATGTAATAAAGTCTTTTCAGTGAACAGCCAAGTGAGAATGTCCCTGAAACATTTGATTAAAATGCCATATCACTCAAATTCAGTCACTGTGAAAGCTTAAAATTAAACACATTTTTATATGGAATTTTATAAAATATATCTTAGTGTAATTATTATTACAAATTAATGACTGCATTATTACCACCAACATGTTGAAAACAAATAATGTGAATGGCATTGACATAAAAGGCGAGGCATTACCAATTATAAACGAGTGAAAAGGCTTGGTCTTGGTGAACATGATTAGCACTCAGCACTACTTTGTTCATATCTCTTTCATCTCGGCCCACTCTGCATATTACACAGTTGATAGTACAATCCATGTTTTGCCAGAAGTTCTGTGTGTGTACCCAGCTCAGCCACCTGCCCACTGTTGATTACGAAGATCACATCAGCATCTTGTATAGTTGAGAGGCGATGTGCAATTGTGATACAAGTGCGGCCCTCCTTTGCTTTGTCCAATGCTTCTTGAACAATCTAAAAAAATTAATTCAAATGCTATTTTCTTCAAAAACAATAACTTTCCTCAAAATCTGGTGGGTCCTTGCAGCTACATTATCTTCCTACCAAATTTTTATTATAATCAGCTTTTAGTTTATTCTCTTATTCTCATAAATATATATACATAAAAATAAATAATGAAGGAATGAGAGAAAAGAAATTAAGAAAGAAAATGAATATTTAGGTATAACATAAAAAACAAAACTGAATAAACTTAAATATAAATTTAAGAATAGCCATGCAAACAGAAAAGTATATTCAGGGTAAACTATTAAAATGGCTATCTTCTGTTTCTGTGAGCCTGAATCCTCACAAAGAGTAAACTAATTCACAAGTGTGAAATGTGAACAAAGACAGTTAACCATTCCAAACACTTTACCTTTTCACTTTCAGTATCAAGTGCTGAAGTTGCTTCATCAAGCAGCAATACTCTGGGGTTTCTGATCAGTGCTCTTGCTATGGCGACTCTCTGTTTCTGTCCTCCAGACAGCTGCGTTCCTTTCTCACCCATACGAGTATTATATCCCTGTGGACATGCAGGTGATGTCAGGTCACATTACAAATGTTCCTAGCAGCTTTTGTAGTAGTAAAGAATCAAACTGACAAAGTAATTTTATTTGTAAAATGCACAACTAGAACATAGTGGCTGCATAAAATCTATATTTAGCTTTCCATTTGGTGTAAATACCTAATACATGGTTGGAGTCACACTTGAGGTCCTTTGTACAGACATAAATCACAAATATACCACAAAGTCTGTATGAAACATTTCTATGTGGTAATGATGTGAAATTTATGTAATATCTGACAAGTTCAATACAGTCAAATCAGTACTGGTGGAAATTACTAAAAAAGAGGTTCATTTAATTATAATTTTGATTGAAGCACATTTCAATTAAGAATGTTACAGTACAATTAGTTTAAAATGTATAGGAACTTACTAGTGGCAAGGAAGAAATAAAGTTGTGTATATTGGCTTTCTTGGCAGCCTCAATAATTTCTGTCATGGGGACTGTTCGGCTGTTGTCGCCATATGCTATATTTTCAGCTATTGTTCTGTCAAACAGCACTGGTTCTTGCGATACAATACCAAGTTGCAACCTTAATGAACGCAAAGTAACTGACGATATATCACGCCCATCAATATTCTGCAAACATAAAACACAAGACCTTGAAGAATCGTCATTTTGGAACTATAACGTCATTTGTATCTGTGGTCACAAATCTGGACCAACCAAAATACATGTGCACAAGTTGTATAACGTGAATATGAACAAGAAAAGAAACTTGCACCTTATAAGCAAGTTTCTGTAAAACAATTGTTTTAATTTGAATTGCTCTTATTTATGATACAATTATAACTCACCACAGAGCCAGAGACAGGATCATAGAACCTTTCGAGGAGCTGTATACAAGTTGACTTGCCACAACCACTATGTCCAACCAGTGCTATACTCTGACCTCTCAGCACATCGACGTTCAAACCTCGCAGAACTGAGACATTGGGCCTTGTTGGATAGAAGAATTCTATATCACGGTAGCTCACATTACCTTCTGATCTCTGACAAGGAAATAATAAACAGTTTGAATTTCAAAAGTTTAAATTCCAAAACAAATGACATATGTAACACGAGCTCTGTATTATGGTATTAATCAACTGCTTATCAATATTATTTTGTTTGCCATGACTGTTATAAATAATCACAAAAGTACAAAGACAGCACTGCAAAGAGAAATCCTCCTTTTTATAACACATTACCATGTACATGCTATACTGCCCATACAGCAGGTAACCAGGTATATAGTTGGGTTAATGTGGGACTGAAATATACATGTGTGTTGACAATGAAAGGGTTTACTCAATGCATTAGCAGGAGCCTCTATAATATGTGAACGCATTGTCTAGCCTAGATATAAGAATGACATACAGGCTGCAATCCCACAAGAGCAACACAGGTTACCAGGACTGACTTAAAATGTGGCATGGAAGAAAGAGAGAGAGAAGAAAAGAGCACCATAACAACCAACTGTGAAAGTCCTAAAACTTAAATTTGTTTGGTGTTAATAATCTTTATTATAGAAATGTTCAGTGGTGTACATACCCAGTTCTCTTCACGTGTTCCTAAAGGATCAAAGATTTGTGGTTTCCTGTCCAGAAGATGAAAGATGTGAGAAGCTGCAACTATTCCTTTTTGGAAGTTTGGAGCAAATGCCATGGCATTGGCTATTGACACTGTACCCATAATTAGTGCCTGTCCCACTCTGTATTGAGGAAAAACAAATCAGACCACACAGATAATAAATCTGTAAGCATAATATTTTCCTGAAAATATTTATTTGAACGTAGCAGTGTTTTCTTATTCTTGGTGGCTCATTTTACAGCAAAAAAAATACCACTTGCAAAATGTCTCTTTGTGGATACCTTACTTGCTCAAGCGAATATTCATTAACTCATAGTACCATTCAATACAGCTGAATGGAAGACGAAGAGAAAAGAAAACCATTAACAATAACATGTAAATGGCAGTCTTTTGGGTTGTGCCGTGTAGTCCCGTTTAAGACGTTCTTGCTGCCTCTGAAACATCAGTAAACACCTAACCTAACCTAACCTAACCTAACAACCCAGTGGAAAGCCATCTTCATACTTGCCACCATGAGAACTTATAATCTCATGCAATAACATCCAGTTATACTTACTTCAGAATAACGTCAAAGGTAATACCATCTTCAACCACAAGTTGTCCACCATAGTACATGGTTGTAGAGTATGCAAAAAACATTATACTTCGGGCTAATCCAAATATAAGTCCCCGTATATGAGTGTTGCGTTTTGCCAGTTTATGGGCTGGAAGTAACTCCAACATGTACTGCTGGTGGAAAGTTCGTTCTCGTCCAAGACCTGCCACAGTACGTATATTACCAACTGCTTCTACTGCAAGCTGAAAATAGGATTAACTACATAATTTTCGTATTCAGACAATTTCCCATACTAGAACTTGAAAAACTCATAGTGAAAGGCTCAATGCTCTGGTTTTTTACTACAGCATGTAACAATATCCACTCCTGTATGACCATAACTTATATTCAACTAACCTTGGTGGACTTTTCCAATGCTTTCTGGTTGCCAAATGTTTCACCTCTGGCTGTTTTCAAGAATAAGAATTGTGCCACTAGAATGACAGGGGTGAAACACAATGTAACCAGCCCAAGACGCCATTCATAGTACAAGGCAAATCCTACTCCCAAGCAAATTGTTGATATAGACTGCAGTACTATCCCCACACGCTGCCCTGTGGCCTGTGAACAGAACAGAAATAGCATAATGAAATCAACATATAAGCATAACTAGTAATGCTGTCTTTTCTGCTACTTCCCAAGGTGTTTCAACGTTATGTAGGTCATCTGATAACCAAGCTTCTCCATCCACCTGTCTTCCCACTGCTCCTCTGCTATAATTCCTTCCCTTCATATAACATCCCTCCTATCCTGTTGTTCACGCTTTCAACAAAATATCCCTCTTTAGCATCATCCTTTCATTTTCATGTTCAAAACTTGACTAATTACTAAAATCTGTCCATATCATCATATTGTTTTAATTTCTTATTCTCTCCCTTTCGGTTTTCCTCCTGTACTCAAGAAAAGTTTCATCTCTGTTGCCATTAGACTGTTAATATCCGTATTTGCCCATGTCCAAGCAATGATCTCCTTGTTAATTCAAGCACCTTTCGGACTTATGTGGATGACCAACACGTCCAATGATTTCTCTGTTAACAGTAATTTTTCACACTGCTCTGCAATTCCATAATTACAGAGTTTTGATGGAAACTCAAATACCAGTGTTCAAGACAATAAAGCATAAATAGGAATTTTGGTTTTCACAGTGGAGTCAGAAGACAGCCATCTCCAAAAAGCATAATGTTTTATTTTACCTATTAATTAACTTGCCATTCCTCCAAGCATTAAAACACACCTAACATGTCTTGTGGTGGATATGGTGATCCTGGAGCAGATTTCTACCAAACTATTTTATTTCTGTTAATAATTATTCCACCAATGTTCTATACTCATCTACCACCACCCTCATCATCAGGAACTGGTACAAAAGGCCAATTGATTAATTATTTACAGAATTTAGTGTTAGCATTTTGATACCTTAAAAGGAGAGGAAGAAACTTCTGCATTTGATAAAGCTATCCCAAACATAACTTGCTTCCTAATCAGATCAGCCATTTTCTGTGGAGGGGGGGGGAGGGGAAAGGAGGGGTAAAAGAATCCAAATTTAAATTCAAGCTGTATAATTAATCTGTAGGTACAAACACCCTGAACACTTGATGCATCCCCCGACAGACGAGCGCAGAGAGAACCAGAGCTGTTGGACTTATTATCAAACCACGCAACCTCCTGCCGCACCATTGCTTCAAACAACTGCCCACGAAGTCGCATTGTCAGCTTCTCACCAGCTATTCCATATGTGTAAATCTGAAATAATGTACAATTATTAGCATTAAATATTAGTCTACTACAATACAATGATTTTCTTTAGTTGTAAGTTCTGAGGAGAATCATTTTGTATTCATGTAAATACATGTTATAATGTAATAATATAATGTTACAATGTACCAGAATGGACCTTGTAAACTATAATACTACCATGAAATTAAACACTATTATACAGTAATAAACACTGATTGATTCACTGTTAAACTTAATTCTGTATAACATAAATTGGGGTAACAGAGAAAAATTCTGATATGTATGATTTAAGAATCAAGAGACTTTTCATAACAATGACATTTGCTGACTTACTTGTAAAAAGGTGGCAAAACCTACACAAATGCCAGCAATAAGAAAATAAAGGCTGTACTCATTTGTTCCATCACGCACTTCTTCGTCAACAGGATTGGACATGACCTACAACAAAAACAACATATATGAAGATCTAAGCTACCACTGAAGTCCTCATTATGTGGAAAATCATCTGAAAGTAAAACAAGCAGAACTCGTAAAGATGCACAGCAGTCCATAAACATACAATCAGAGTAAGAAGATAATGTCTTACATGCATATAATACTTACTTACTTAGGACCCATTCTTCAGTGCCATGAGCATGTGTGGGTCCCAACTTTTGTTGGCTTTAATCTATTAGACAGTCGATAGGACTCCTTGGACGAGTGATCAGCCCATCGCAAGGCCTGTACCTGTACACAGGACAGCACAACACGGAAAGTCACGGACAAACATCCATGCCTTGAGTGGGATTCGAACCCACAGTCCCAGTGACCAAGCAGCACACAGCCCACGCCTCAGACCAGACGGTCACTGTGACAGGTTCCATATGATACAATAGACTAAACAGCATGACATTTAGAAAAAAGCTTTTGCATTCAATGACACTGTCTTAATCATTGAAAAAGTCAGTATTATTACTACCTTAAAAATTCTGATTGTTTATATTTCATGCATCTAGAGTAACTTTGTCGAGTTCCAAAACAATAGACATAAAGCACAAACACAAATGAACAAGATTGGTTACCTCATCATCGGACCAAATAGCCTTTTCCTTGACTTATTTATTATGACTTAACAATCTATACTGTAAACACATGGCTAGCACATGCACTCTCACAACACAGTGTGATATTTTATTTCTCTTTTGCAGCTGTACACTGGAAAGTATGGTAAAAGTGAGTAAGCCCATGCACAAATCATCTCTTAGACAGAAAAAGTAGAACAAAAGGAACACCCCACATGATGGAACTAGTCTCAGAACTATACAATGTGCAAATTCTGCTTAATTTGTGAACTGTTACATAGATGAGCAGTCTTAATTATTCCACAACATAGTGCAACACTGGTTTACACTTACAAAATATAATTAATTAATAATAAAAATATCTACCCTTGGTAGTAACTGATAATTAAAAATTAATCATAATTCAAGCCATACGTCTATTTCACTTACTCACCCCCAAAATATCTCCAAAAAGAACCCCAAAAATGGGCATGGCAAAGCCGATGACAATGGAGCCAAGGCTTCCCACGACAATGAATGGCCACTCAGGCTTGTTTTTCTTCAGGATATTCAACATAGAAACTGGTGGAGGTGGTGCTTCTTCAGCATCTTCAATCACTGGTGGTCTCTCATCTTCATGAGTGTCAAAATTAGATCCAGTGGAAGAAGCTTTGCTCCCAGTACTCATCAGTCTGCCAAGTTTTTTCCTCTCATCTGCACAGAAACCATACCTCAGTACCGTAAACTACCAAATCAATTTAGTGATTATAAACCTCCACAGAATGAATGCTGGCTTTTTATTTTACTGATTGTCTGACTGTTCTTCGATCACATTTAGGCCAGAAAATCAGGACTCTACTGCACTTTTATCTGGCATTTAAGTGAAATGTTAAGGAAGAACCACTAAGAAAACTCAGTCAAGATTTGTTCCTATTACTCCATTCTCTCCTTAAATATATGCAGAAATACAGTCAGTATATGTTTTAAATATAAGTATACATAAAACGTATATACTCATTATAATTCAACATATATTTCAGCATAAAATGGAAAAATAAAATAATGGGAAGAAATAACCCACTTTCTAAGGGGTTCTTAAAGCGTTCTACCAACCCATACAAAGCAAAAATTATGGTGGATAATAAAATACAATAAACACAAATTGTTGTGGTGATATTAACATACAACAAAAGAATGAGAAAACATAGATGGTGAAAACAATTAATTTGCCAAGTACTGACTGTAAGTATGGAAGGAGGAAATAGGAAACATGTTGCTTATAAGAAATCTACAAAGAAACAGAAAAAATGAATCTGATGAAAGGGAACTATAATTTTTGACAATCATGGAGTATGGAGACATTTACCACAATTTAGATGCAATACCACCTGACAACAAACTCTGTAATGTCCTCACAATGACTGACCTTCAGATCCCTCATGACCATTTTCCATTTCATCAACTGTATTTAGGTGCTGGGCTGTCACCAGTGCGTGGTAATGTCCTTTCAGGGCCATGAGGTCCGTGTGTGTTCCTTTCTCCACAACCTTACCATTAGAAATGACCACAATTGTGTCCGCTGTCCTAATTGTTGAGAGGCGATGAGCAACGATAACAGTTGTGCGACCTCTGCTTACCTGCCATATCAGGAAAATCTAGTTATTTTTGTAACAAAACACCCAGGAACAACCAATCTCTACAAGCATTTTTCAAATGCAGAAAAACTGCACACTAATTGTGTTGCAACACATAAAATACAGATTTAACCACTGATAACACAGTACCGCCTCCAAAACTCAACCACCATGCGCATACATGCCATGTTGTCATACGTGTGAGACCACAGAAAATATAACAAACTCTCACCTTATCCAGAGCCTTTTGGACTTTTGATTCACTTCTTGTATCAAGGGCTGATGTTGCTTCATCAAGAAGCAAAATAACTGGTTTTCGTACCAAAGCACGAGCAATGGCAATTCTCTGTTTCTGCCCACCTGACAACTGCGCGCCTCTTTCTCCAACAAGAGTGTTGTAGCCCTGCAAGAAATAAAAGCAAACAGATTGGGAGAAATCAAATACAGAAAGACTTGTTATCATGAACACAAAATGTATCAGTTCACTGGTAATCAGCATCAAACAAAAATATGTAATCAACACAGTCACTTTCCAAACAAATTACAATAACAAAAGTTTAATATCTTTAAAACTCATAGTCCAAATTTATAAAAATTGTATATTCACAAATAAAATATATCTTTGTATGTGTAAAGATGAAACAAACCTGTGGTAGTTTTGATATAAAATCATGAGCATTTGCTTCCTTAGCAGCATCTTGTATATCACTCTCAGTTGCTCCATCAGTTCCAAAACCAATGTTCTCAGCAATGGTGGTATTAAAAAGAATTGGCTCTTGACCCACAACACCAATATGCTTTCTCAACCATGAAACATTCAGTTCTTTTACACTGTTACCATCCACTATAACCTGTACAGAAGAAAGTTTCCAAGCATAATAAAATTCAAACAAATAATTACAAACACTTCTGCTCTCAATTCTTAATATATCCTCTGCCTAGGTAAGTCAACTGTCACAGCTATATTCATTCTGTTCTAAATACATTCGTAATAATGTGACAGCCTATGTTAAAATTCTACTATCTAAATCAAAGACTATATGTTTAAATGTTAGTACATAATTCCTGTTACAAAAGAGAGAATTCAACTAAAAATACTCTTTTCCCCGTCAGCTAAAAATGACAATAAGAACTTCTGAGTGCTTAGAAATAACAGCTTCTCAACATCACGGATTTTTGTGCCTCTTTTCAACAACTATCAAATTCCTTCCCGAAACAAAGATTCTGTTATGCCCTCGTTTAAAACTTATTTTCAACGTAGATGTTAAATGTTAGCCACTTCTTCCAACACCACTCACCACTCATTCATCTTACTATTCTCATTTGACACAAGGTTTATACAGCATCCTAGTTGAAGGAACACACAAGTAAACTTAACCTGAAAAGCCAGCATAAATGACTGTTCTAATTTCAGTCACATTCTTGGCACCCATGCAGCCATATTTTGAAACATTTCCTGTCGAATGGTACGGCAATAAAGACAGTTTGAATTTCTGTTATTCACAAATTTCTATCGATAATACAAGAACTCTAATATATTTCATATTACTAGTTCTAGCATATTCACAAATTTCTCTCGATAATACAAGAACTTTAATATATTTCATATTACTAGTTCTAGCAATATTGGTGTGTGCCAGGTTGATATCAAACAGTCATCACAATCTTCTAATTTAAACAGAGACAAGCATGATAACAACGCTTACTGTTCCTTGTGCTGGATCATAAAACCTCTGGATGAGCTGGATACAGGTTGATTTTCCACAGCCAGAGCTTCCCACCAAAGCCACTTTCTCACCACGATTTATGTCCAAGTTCAAACCCTGAAGAACCTGTCAGGAAAATGATTCTGAATTTCTTTTCTGAAAACATATTATCACCTTCAACCACACATGAAATTTGTTCCATTGTACTGTATATAAAAAAATACCTTTGTGAAATTTCTTTTTGGATATAACTGTTTATACTCATTCACATATTCACCGACTCACGAAGCACAATTACTAATATCATAATTGTTTTGTCATATGCACACTGTATTTTGATAAAAAATTCATCTTTATGCATCCCTTATTTTTGCATCTATTCAAAATGCTTTATTGAAAATCTGAAAGAAACTTTCTATGGCAAATTATGACATAAAAAATGAAGGAATGCAAGAGACAGGCCTCTGTGTAGTGTTAACTCACCTTAACATCTGCCCTGGTTGGATATTGGAAGTGAACATCTCTGAAAGATATGTTGCCGTTCATTTGCTCTGGACGCTTCCCATCTTCAGACCAGCTGTTGATAGGCGAGACACGGTCAATTACTGAGAATACTTTTGCTCCAGCTCCCATGGCTATAGAAAATGCCTCAATATATGGGGATGACATCCCAAAGTTCATTGAAGCCATCATAACACCAAAGAACACCTGTGACAAAATTATTGCTGTTTAAATATTTTTATAATATGATCCACACATCACACTTTGGCGATATGAAACATTTTGACAGACATGTAATTACTCAAAACAGTGTTTATTACAAAGCGGTCTGTGGCTTAATTTATGCAAATCCACAAATTATACCTGGCACTGTATTAAATGTATTTTATCACAACTCTAAAAACTACCAACTTTCACTGTTGCTTTACTTTAACACCACTACTTTTTTGTCTCTTAATTCACAGAGTACCTGTCTACAATATGGTCAGAACCACTTCCTCACAGGACATGTAACACTATGCCTCTTCTGGGAAATAATTAGTCAGTCAAGCATGATTTCTCACCGTGACCATAGTTGTTGGGGTGTACACGATTTCGTCTTCAGGCTTATATTTGTCTTCCAACACTAGACCAATGCCATACCAAAATGCTAGTGCGTAACTTGCATAGATGAAGAACCAAAGGCAACCAAATCCTATTCCTGAAAGGAATCCTCTCCTTACATTGATGTTTTTGGCATATACAAGATTATCTTGGTACCTGTGAACAGAATTAGTAAGTTAATGGGTTAAGTTTGTAGATCTAAGAATAATTTGATGGCTGTTTTCTGGGTTGCAGTGCCATGAAATCTGGTAGGAAGTTTATCTACGTTTCATGGCAATTACCCTGACGACAGGGGCAGAAATTACCTCTGAAACTTCTACCAGACTAAACAGTGCTACAGCAAGACAGCCATCTTTGTACTCATAGCAATAAGAACCGTAAATCATTCTCAGAATACCATATTAAATGAAGTTAACATACCGCTTCACCTCAGAATCTTGCCCTCCGAAGGCTATTACAGTCCTGATCGAACTCAAAACTTCTTCAGCAATTGAACCAGCGATGCCATAAGCTGTCAACTCCTTTTTTGCCAGTCTTGATGATATCTGCAAAGGTCACTAAATTAAATTCACCACTTGGAAATAATGACAATAACAAATTACAATAACTTACGCTGCCTCCTATCCATCAAATGTTTCAAAACACATGGTCATGCTAGTAAGAACTATAAAACAACAGCAAAAACAGAACTTAATTTAGTGATCTATTCTGTGCATAATTTCCACTACTACTGGTTCTGTTAAAAGCGTCAAATATAACCTCAAAGTTTCACACAACCAACACTAAATTAACATTCAAAAGAATGTTTCATATAGAATTTATACAAATGTTTAGAAAAGTAGACTACAAATAATATTGACGAGAAATTAAGAGTTACTGCCAACAATTTCAACCAAAATATTTCATCTGTTTGCACGACCTCCACTTAATTACAGGCCAACCTAAATACAGTTATAATTTTAACTTTTATGAGACAATTGAATAATTAGACTGACAATACCTTCAATTCAGGCTGCAATAAGTGTTTTACTTTGTTTCCTATGCTAAAAATAAGCAGAAAACAAAATCTGCTCAGATCACTTAACAAGATTTATGGAAAACTCTGCAAACTGCAAGTCCCTCCTATTTATCTTGAATCAATCATTTTCTCCATCTTCCTGTTGTTTCAGCAATGCCAAAGTCTTTCCAAGTCTGAGCCCCTTTGTCACATTTTGCAACACAGTCTTCTTTTTATGAAGAGAGGCTGTTGGCCCCATGCCAAACCCTACATCTTGTTACCTGTCTGTGACTGTTTATTGCATTAACCAGGCAGAATTGATACTTCATGATTATGTTTACCAAAACTGTGAAAATCTAAGGAAAGAGCCATAATAAAATGAAGAAAATAAATCTTAGTACGATACGAGCTTATCACAGTGGTGAATACAGAGATGGCTGTATTCTTAAATAAATCTTATAACTCTAAAGGTTCCACTTTATAAGGTCTTTGTTTTAGTATAATTGCTGATGAAATGGATACTGTACCACACTGACTACTGCAACAGATATCAAGGTGACAGGAAGTGAAGATAGGCAAACCAGAGACAGCAGCCAGCCCTTTGTGAGAGCCAATATCAAGCAGCCCAGAAATGATGCCATGAAGTGCATGAACTGAACCACTTTCTCTCCAATTCCATCCTCCAACTTTGTTAAATCTCTGTTACATAAAAATAACACAATGCATAAGAACACAGTACTCCATATATATTTCTCAATTAGTCAGTTAAAAACTAACTACCTACCAATAAATCAACCAACGAAGCGACTGACCGAGTAACTAATTAACTAACTAACTAATGTTATGCAGCAGAGTCCTGCTTGGAAAGATGACAGTCACTCATCTCCTCAAAAAATTTCCCACCATTGTGGAAACGGAAGGTTCATTACCACGTACAAAAAGTACCAACAAAAAATAAATGAATGAAGAGAACAAACACTTTATTTATTTCGTTTAAGGTTATTAAATAATGCTGTATCAACTAAAATGTTGTACAGTAACAAATGAAGTAAGATGGCAATGAATTTTGAATTGGAAAAAGTTGGAAAACACAGGTTATATCATATTGCAAGGTACTATCCTGTACTGGACTGGAAGGAAGAAATTTTCTTAAGAAAAATATGAGAAACCTCACGACAGCCAATGCCCAATCCATGAATCAGACCCACTAGCTCCTAAATGTAAGTCTGAAGCCATATCACTTATCCTATCAGCTTGGTATTTTATGAATGTACAAATTAATAAAATATGAATGTGATTTATTAAAGAGCATCATATATTTAAACTTACTCTGACATTCTGCTGGCAAAATCCCCAGTTTGCTGTACATCATACCACCCAATGTCTTGTGACAAAGCAGACTTGAAATATAAGTTCCGAATTCGAAGAATCTAAAAGTAAAATATCATAGACTTTTAAGAAAATAACAACAGAAGAAGAAAAACCATGTCTTGGCCAATTTCCCCTAGCCTAGCCAATCCCCTGATCCTACATAAACTATCCTCTACCCTGCAACCTAACTTCAGAGCTGATGGAAGTAGTGTTTTCCTCTGAACACTGGTATTGACCCACAAGTACACATGGTATTACAACCCACAATACCTAACTGCCACAAGAATTACAAATCTCATAAATGTCCTTTCATATTACAAATAATTACTTTGATTCCTTAATCTTGTACAAATATGTCCTATGAGAATATTTCAATGTGCATAACATTTTAATTCAAAGCACAAGAACAAAGAATTAGGGCTAAGAATTTATTTATTCTTTTATATCTTAACCCTCAGGACTGAATTAAAATAAATCATGTCAAATTCATAAATTTTAGTCTCAGTCCCTAAAGAGTAAGATCCTTTCATACATGTTAAAAATTATTACATATATCATTAACTTATTAATAATTTGAAATATTACCAAATACTTTATAATCTAAACATATTCATGTTTAAAAACTGGAATGAGACTCTTTGAAAATGAAACTGTTTAATCTTTGAGAAAGTCCACTTTTAGAGAAAAAGTTACTTTTGTTTTCAGTGCTTTATTAGGAAGAAGATTTCTACATTTTTATGCTCTACACATTTTAAATGGGAAATGTTAAAGCTACACAATGTTTACGAAGGATCTTTTATGTTCATGAAGTGAAGTTTACATTAGCACTGATTACCATATTTAGGAAAATTTATTATCCAATCAGATAATAAAGCCATCCTTTCTTACCTGTCTACTGGCCACAAAATTATAAGTCCAGACTGACACGTACGTCACCAAAAGCATTTCAAGTCCAAGTAAAGAGTTCAGGCCTGAGAAGCGCTCAATAGCATCCAAGAATGCTTCAGTATCAGGAACTGAATTATTCAGAACAGCCATACCATATGCCACAAATTCTCCACTAAGGTCACCAAACAACCATATGTTCAATGGAGCTGTTGCACCAGTGGCAAGGGACCCAAGAAAACCAATAAAGAGCAGGACCCTCTCCCCCACTGTTGCAAATCGAAACTGAAAACAAGCAAATGAGGAATGTTTGATAATACAGTGAACTGTCTCTCATGAGAGACATATTTATGACCTTTTCTTTCAAAATAAAAGAAACACAAGCAAAGAAGTAATGAAATAATTTTAATTTTGATCAAATGCAGATTTTGTACAGTACTATAGAAAAACCTGAAAGGATATTATGAAAGTATAATTTCTGAAAGAATATAAAATATTTTTGAAATATCAATCCAGAGGAATGGAGGGCCAATTGCTGGGATGTTGGCCAGCTGGAGGACTGAAGGTGCTATCAGAATATAAAATTGTAGCAGGCCTATTTCAACTTTTATAATGATACTGCTTTACAGACGTGTTTCATGCTACATGTAGCCATGCAATGCTTCCACGTTTAAATAATCAACAAAAAGGTTCATACCAGTTTCAAAAATGATACTGGCTGAGTGTCATCTTCCTTCTTTTTTTCTACTTTAGGTTCAGTAAATTCCCTAAAAAAGAAACAAAAATTAAACAATTACTGCAATGCTGTTGAAAATCGTCTATGAACATGGTAAAAAGCAACTGTGACATCAAATAGTTCAACACAATTATTATATTTCTTACAGTTTCATTTGATACTTACAAAGAGATAGAATTGGAAATACAGTTTTTAAAGAGGAAGTAAGAATCCAAAATTTGTTAAACAGAACTGCAGGAGAAATTACTACAATGCGCTGGATATTTCAAGAAAATTGGATATTGAAGAGGGCATTCATTACGATTAAAATTTAGAGGAAAGAGACCCATGGGATAAACCAGAACAAGACGGTTCAACAGGTACTATAGGACATCATGGAGGAGGACAGCAAGAAACCAAAAAGGAAAGACTTTAGGGAGACAGAAGAGAGCGAAGGCTTTCTGTCCATTAAACCATATAAAACAGAAATAATAAGAGGAGAAGAGGAGGGAGGTCTAATGTGTATTTTTGCAAATAGCATTTTATGTGATTTAACTATGCTTAGTCAACTGCACAGAATGCACTATAAAAATATGGAAGGGGTTGTGCCATATTTCATAGTATACAATCACTACTATTGTTTTAGGGACTCTCAATAAGACATCAGAGATTTAAACCAGGCACCTCCTGAAATTGAAACTACTACACCTAGTGCCTTTGCCTGCTACAGTTACTACTTTATTAGTAAAATGTTATTTATTACACATGGTTCCAGCACTGTTACCTCATGTGCTAAATGTGCCCTCTACTTTAATGTTTCCATTAGTTGTGCTGAAAAGGGGATTTCACTGCAAAATTATTTTCTTTCTGTTCACTGCCTAGACCTGTAATATATATGAATTCTGTTACAAGCCACATCATAACAAAGAAACTGTGTATGAAATAGACACTATCACACTACAGACATCATGTGATGGGCATTAAGGTTCGGTGCTTCATTTAAAGATACTCACGTTTCCAGTGGATTCTTTTTGTTTGAGTTGAGGTCATCTTCATCCAATGATCTTATTTTTGTCACTGATAAGTTGCTACTATCCTCAACTTTCCCATTTTGCTTCATCTTTCACTGCAATAAATATTACTGAAACAATGATGAATATCTGTCAATGAAGAATAAATACATATATTATAATCAATAATCATGGTCTCCCTTTCTCTCCACTGTTTTTTTAGTGGGGTCTGGAATGTAATTATTTGATAGCTGTTACATTCAGCGAACTTCAACAATGATTCTGCAAATGAATTTCACTCACTAATGGCAAAAGTTATTCCATTCTATTGATGATATATTGTAAAAACTGCAAATTTATATCATTCTTCATCATCACATAACTGTTTAATGCCAACACATATGACTGAAAACATGGACCATAAGGACGACTGATGAGAAGACTAATAACATAAATTCAAATGTTTCATAAGAGAGAGTATAAAAGAAATTCATTCACCACTAATAAATATTATGCAACCATATATAAGAAAGTGGATTATCACATTTCATATCAAGAAAATACATGATTTAAAATAATATTTTTATATATATACAAGGACTTCTGAAACCTAATTTTGTCCTAAGACACTTATGAGTAAAACCACAGAACATCTTAGGTCTTTCATCCCTAGTTTGCTGCAGTAAAACCTGGCCTCTTGACAAAACAGGCCAACCTTAAAGTATGTAACTTTATAATGGGATATGATGATAATTTATTAGGAATATAATATTGATCCTGGAAATGGCTTTCATATGATTAATCATGATGATAAGCATTTCTGACATCTTATCAACATAGATTATATACTTTATCACCTTATCTTATTTTACAACCTGCAGTTTCACTGTGGCTTATCATAATGGACACACTTTTAATATCACAATGACAGCTGCCACTCTGGAAAGAGCAGAAAACAGTTATGAAGGAAGTACTGAGAACCATATTCAGATGAAGGGATGCAAAGAAATAAGCTTACAGTTCTTCTGAAAAACTCCTTGTTTTCATTTTGTTTAACACTCTCAATAGTTCACATTTTTAGAACTGAAAAACTCCTTGATGTTTATGAGAAAACTGATTATGCATGGCTGCACAAGATGTTGACTACAGCAAACAATTAAAACAGAACGTTCTAGTGACATTACATTAAACAATTCACATACTTTGATTTTAATTTAAAACCGAAAATGATCTTGTTCCTCCTAACACTTTACGTGAGTCGTCTGAATAACAGCCTCTCCATCCATCTCTTTGTCATCCCACAGTTCCTCTTCCTCATCCTCTTTAGTTTCTTCCTGCATTCTCCCTTCCCTCAGTATCACATCTTTCTAAAAATACTGCTGTCTTGGTCTCAGCCATCCTCATTTTACTGCTCAAAACCTTCTCATAAATTATCCACGCATTCATTTTTAAAATATGTTGAAACTATCTCATTCTGTTATTTGGCAGTTTGTCTTCCAAGGTGTTTAACTTTAAATTCTCTACAAATTGTTCATTTCTTATTCTACTTCTTTTGGTTTTTCCTTCTATACTTTTCAAAGGTCTCATATCTGCCTTGATAAAGGTCCAAGTTTCTTCTGTTCCATACATTAACACGGGCATCCAATTAATAACTTCCAAATATGCATATTTCACCCTTCTTAGCCATTTCCCATTTCTGAAGTATTCCACTAACTAACCATTACTTGGTTACAGTATCACCATCTTCTGTACACACAAAATATTAACCTACTGAAACAAAGTTTTCACATAATCAGACACAGAAAGACTAGGCAGAAACAAATTTCTCTTCTTCCCATAATCAGCCACTTGTTATTTAACACAATCTGCACACAATATAAAATCCTAACATGAATAATGATAACCACTGTACATACCTAACAGTTCACACAAATGGTCAGGTAATACACAACTCATATACCAGACTATCTTTCCTCACTTCAAGCTGGATCAATACTGCTATGGTGATAGGGTATCCATAAATTATATACATGTACACTGATCAATAGAAGCTGAAACATGATATTCAAAATCATACGGCTTTTTCTACAAAGCTCCGTTATCTTAATTTAACATATCTACCATAATTAAATCATCTCAAGCATACCAGACAAGATAACAATCTTGCGTGTGTATGACCAACTGATACTAGAAAACACCACATGGCATACTTTTATCATATCTGTTGCACAATGTAACTCATCATAATCATCACACTTCCATTATTAGATTTGATCATTCTGTCACAGGAATTATAAAACAGAACTGTGCCATCATTTAAGAGAATTTTTAAATTTCTTCCTCTGATAAAATATTTAATAATTTCTTGGGGGTATCCTATTTCAACCTCTTTAGCACATTCAAAGTGCTTTATTTTCAGATGCTTGTAATTTATGTTCTTTCCTAAAAGTAAGAGACCACGTACATGAAAACTACTAGTAAAATTTCTCTTTTGCTTATCCTGATCTTGAGCATTTTGGAAAGCATATGTCTTTTGCTGATTCTGATCTTGAGCATTTTGGAAAGCATATAAAATAATAACTTGTTACAGTGTTATAAAAAATTGGTTATTTATGAAATCTGTAGTGACATTACTTCTTCTTTTCTTGCATGGCTGAAAAGGGCGACCACTGTCCACATCATGAAATGCAATTTCAATGGATAATATTCTCTCTAGTCCACCTGAGAGACTAACAGCTGCTAAAGGATGTATGATCCTTGGAGTGAATTACTGATGATGCAGAAAATTAATTCAGGAAGTACATATAGCACAGATCTCAAAACTTTAATTTATGTCAATACACACAGTTTAGTTGTTATAAGCTGTTTTTAAGAAACATGATATGGAATCTGAACTTTATGTTAAACAGAGATAAAACAGGACTGATATGAATCTAACATAAAATAAGCCAGACAGCACAATACCAAATGTCCCTGAAATCCAGCAAGCAATTTTGGTTATAAAATATGGATGGACACATGGAAAACAGAATGTTTATTTAATGTACCTTATGAAGAGAATGCTTTGAATCTAATTTAAATTGTTCAGGAAGACCAGATTACATCACTCATAAAGCTATTGCAACTTGATTTTCCTGTATTATCTTTATCATATACCAGCAAATGCGTGCACTAGTCATAGCCACAAGTTGAATGACTTGCTTGTGCGGATACCGAGAATTCTTCAATTGCATCACATATTAATAGCCATGGTTTAATATCAAGTGTATCAAACAAATATAGGAAGGAATGTTACAATTCTTCCTTTTATTTGTAAAAGGTTATGTATGGTTGCATGACCAGCAAACCAGTGTTTCTTTTCACCTACCCACAAGAACGTCTTAATTTATTGGGGGGCATCTCACATTCCAGTTGCTTTGGAGGGATTATTTAAGTGTAATTATAGTACGCGACTGAAAATTTTGAGACTTGCAAGGAATGCAGGAAGTCCGATGCGTTACAGACTGATGCTATCTTTCCTCCTTCCTCCTTCACCCCACTTCCTCACCCTGCAAGTCTCAAGATTACAGTCTTACACCTTACATTCTTCAGTGTTTCATAAGCAGTTTAAGTCCAAATTCAGTATCAATTTCTTAACATAATTTCCACTACTACAGACTGTGGCTTAGTTAATTAAATTTATCAGATGAGACATCAAATATTACCGCCACCAAATTGGTAATTTGCAGATTTGTAGTATGTTTATTAACCACACACAGATTTCCATGCTGACAGCTACAATAATTAATTAGTTATCACCAATAAACTAAAAGCTAACTGTGGCTGCCATGCTTTTTGACACAGTACATACAAATTTATTTCAACAAGTACAGCCATTATCACACAAAATATCACATACCTATGCTGGTGTGCAATTAGTGGCACTAATGACACACCCATCTCACAAATTTTCAAGGGTATTGTGTCCTTATATTTCTCAATAGGAAAGACCCCCGGTGGCAAAAGGTTTACACCTATGTAAGACTTGAGGTTCTCACAGCGGTGAGTATGAAGATTTCTGTCTTCTGGGTTATTGCGCTGTGTAGTCTGGTCGATGTTAACCATCGTTTCAGAGGTCATACTGCCTCCGTCATCAGGACCTAGTTTCTATGAAAGGGTCGACACATGGACAAGATACCATAAGCCTGCCTTTCCATTCAAAATCAGAAATGAAGGCTAAATGGTATGGCAAAGATAAGTACTTTGGAAATGAATAAGATAAAAATAAAACATCAACAAATCCTTTCTTACATGGATCAATAAGGACTATTCTGAGAGTACCACAAATGTATTCTTTACAATGACTAATCAAATTTGCAAGTAATAAAAGATGAGAAAAAGTCCAGTGTCATTCTTAAAAAGCAAAAATTAATTGATATATCACAAAGAAGGAGATAATCCTTTAAACAAAAGACTGATTACATTCTGATGAGTCTGCTACAATATTATCTACAATAATTTCAATACAAGATATGAAATTAGGATTACAGTATATTTCTATAATCCTGTAAAACTGAAATCATTCTGAGAATGTAAATGAGATTTACTATAATGAACTTCTAAAAGTTTGGTAATTACAGCAATACTTGTAAATAACAACTTTAAAAAACAATGCTTCAGTACTTTCTTGTTTTGACTGAAAAATGTTGTTTGATTCAATTTCTATTGGAATAAAATAGTGTTATTAGTATAAAACAAACATACTATACTTTACAAAAATCCATGAGCCAACCAACTGTAACAGTGAACATGCCAATGACACAATAAGCTGAACACCTCAGAGAACTCCTCGTCATAATACACTCAACATAGGGCACAAAAAATGTACTGGTGATAAACAATTTTTTTTATATTTTGAGTATGTTCTCTGCAGGAAGCACATGGACATAAATCCATACGTGAAAGGAAATTCCTTTTTGGTCATCCAACCACATAGTTCTTCTCTAAAACACAATGAATTTTAATTAAATTTATTACCGCAAGACTACAGTGGAAGTTGTCATCATTTTTGACTCTATCTGGACAAATAATAAAATTTTTTCGTTAAAAATGTCTAATGTGAAGATGGTCGTATCATATCCAAGGTCATCTTATAAATATGATGTAAATATTGCATTTTTCATACAAAAATCTTTCTGTACATTGAACGATTCCAACAAAGCAACGGGAAAACTCAATAAATAAATGGAAACCTACAGTGAATCTGCATTTTCCTACATTTTTTAAACTCACATAACAATTTATATAAATTAGTAACACCCACTGATGCTATGGAAATAAAAATACTGCATACCTAGGGTGACTTCTTGCTTGACAATGCTGTGACAGAATGCTTCATGTCTTTAACGGCAATATCTATGTTATCTCTCGTTGTCTCTCTTCCAACACTCAAACGAATAGCATTCACTGCTTGATGACGCGGTACACCAGAGGCAAGCAGAATCCCTGTAAATAAGGACCAAGTGTGGCAAAACAGAAACAGAGAATTTAACTGTACACAATTTATTCCATTGAAAGTAAGCTCGTAATACAATTAATGCATCACAGCAATAACAACTGTGATTTTAATACCTGACGGTTTGTTTTGGGTGTGACAAGCAGCTACAGTACTGGCCATAATATAGGTGCATCTGGACAGCACCACATGGCCCACAAGACCTTCACCTATCAGCGAGACACTGCATGTATTTGGGAGACGTCTGACACCTTTACTGCAGTTAAATGCAACACAATCTTCTCCAAATGCTTCCTGAACCAAAAACATATACAATATAATTCCCTTTTCATGTCCCTCAACTGAACCTCTTCACTGCACTGATCAAAATCTGAATGCTACTCCCTTGCCATAGGAAGTAAACATTATCAAAACTTTGCAATTTTATTCTCTGGATTGTTTATATATGAGACAAGTGGAATATTTCTGAAACTGAATGACAAATAGTTGTCACGGGTTTGAAAAAGCTAATGAGAATACAATCATATTTGTTATATAATGAGCTGTTTTTGATGAAAATTATCAAGTCTGATTTGAACTTATGTGTAATGGAGGTAATAATAGAGCAATATGGCATAATAACAAATTTGCAAGACAACTTTTAGTGCAACTCCCCACTTACAATACCAAATTTCACTGAAAATCACTGAGTAGTCATGGAAATTGTTTTTCAGTGTTTTCTTGTGAAAATAATGCTTCATATTTAACTCATCCCGCACGTACAGAATCTTACCAACTGTCTGAATGATATGTAGAAAATCTCCAGGACTAGCAGAAGCTAAGATATGAATCACACTGCTGAATAAAGAGTTAGATATCTAAATTCTAAATCTACATAAATAGTTAATAGAATAACATATATTTAAATTATTACTATTTAAAGCTGAGATTTATGTTGTTAAATACGCATACTTAGGATTGGATGAGTGACATACCTTAAGCTTTTCCTCCAAATAGTCTCTTATTTCCTTCATATGTGTGTAATATTCTGTTAGGTTTTCGCACACCAGCCGTGCTGCTTCTCCAAGACCCGCTATCATTGCAGTGTTCTCTGTTCCTGGACGATATCCCTGCTCTTGACCCCCTCCATGCAAGAGTGGATATACTGGCGTTTCACGTCCTAGTCCATGGGCATAAAGGCATCCTATGCGTGGCCCATAGAACTACATGAAATAAATACATACAAAAATCACGCTATTATCTCATAAAAACAGAATTATGAAATAATATTTGTACCACCACACAGTTCAAAGTTCTACATTAAATGGTATTTGATTCTCACCTCTAAAGTACACACAATCACTTACTGTGGCAGTGATATTATAGCAGGGAAATAAGAAGTATGAGAGTTGAGAGGGAGTCATAATGAGTCAGTTGGTTTGAAAGTTTTTGATGGTGAAAGGAATAAATCAATCCACACAGACATACCCATAAGCATATATAATAATGCTTTACATCTCAAATGAGGTAACATGGTCTCACAATGAAAAAATAATTCAATCAATTAAGAGACGGCGAGACACATGGTTGGGGGAAAACCATTTCACCATGACTGTACTTTCAGAAACACATTGAGCTTCAGTATACTTCAAAGTTTGAGTAAGAACTATTACAAATCATGCCTATGTTTTTAGCATGCATGGTACATTTGAGCAGGCCTCAATAATTGCCTTGCCTTATCTTTGTTTGAAGATAGTACACAACCAAAACATTTTCAGTACTACCTTGTGCCCCACAATGGTGAGATAGTCAACACTTAGTTCATCAGCATCCACCCTGATCTTCCCTATACCCTGTGCAGCATCAGTGTGGTACAATATTTTTATCAGCTTCTCTGCCTTCCTCTGCTTGTTAACTTCTTTTAAATACCTTAAACAATACAAATTACATTGTATAATCAAAAGACACTTTAAAAACAGTTCCTTATATAAGGCGATCACCTGGAAGATGGAGGCACCAAGTACCTCTGAAATATTGGTACATTTATAAAAGACTACACAGCGCAACAACCCAAAAGACAACCATATTCATACTCACTGCTGCTGAGAACTTGAAAACTGAGTTTGTCAATGATCACTGGAAAAATGATGTATTTCTGTAATAATTTATTAATGAGTCTGAGTAACATGAAATAAACTTCATACTACCTGCCAATTTCTTCTACTGGCATGATGACTCCAGTCTCATTGTTTGCTAACATAATAGTAACCAGGCATGTTGTATGTCTGATCTCTGATATTACATCTTGTGGAACTACGCAACCTTTTGGGGATACAGGCACGACACTCACATCTGAACAGAAGAAAGAGATCACACAGGTCTACAAACTAAGCTAGAGTTTTGTTTAATTACACTTTCAATAGTTCAGTATAGTAGCAAATGGGAGGATGACTGGTAAATGAAGAATTGAAAAGGATGTGGAAGGAAAGTCATAGCATAATTTAAGATACTGTCTCTGTATCTTTTAGATGAACTGAGGAACATTATAGGGAAAAAAGGGGGGGAGGATAGCCCATGTACTGGCTGAGATTTCAAAGTGGGAACATCTTAACAAGAAGCAGGAGTATTAACCATTATATGGTGACTTTCAGTGAATGCAATAACATATGAGGTACTTATTTATGGCGGCCTATTCCCTAAGAGGCAGGATAAAAGATAGAAGTCATGAGGAAATTAAAATGATCCCAAATGTCAGTAGGAGAAGGAAAGGCAGTGTAAACAAAACTATAAACCTGAAAGCAAACATTAACCTTCAAATGAAAGACAGGTTATTTAAATCCTTCACTATGACAGGTTAAATGGTTCACACTGATTTAAGAGGACTTTGAACTGATAATCCCTGGATACCAATACACCAGCAAACCTAAGTAGATGACATTCTCGAGATTCTTTTCATATTCAACTGACAGATTCACTTTTATTTTAATTACTGTGTGTGAATTCATATCCCACATTACCAATTGCTCCCCTTTTTTCTAAGTACTTGATTGGCAGCATCACAGAATCATGTTCTACATTTGTTGTTATGACATGTGGTTTATCTGTGGTTCCTTTACCACATGACACTGACTTCAACCAGTCTTCATAGTAATCGACAATTCCAAAAATGACCATATTGTTGGCCTGCAAGAAAATCAGAAATGTCAGTCACAGTCCTGAGAACAAACCAATAAGTAAATTGAGTTACTGTATGTGATGTAAATCTTTCATGGTGAACTGAATTACTAAAATCCTCTTGCGCTATCAGCTGTATCAAATGGTAAAATCTTGCGAACATTTCAGCGACCATCTCTTCCTGTTTATAATGGCTCAGAGTTCAGTACCAAGGGTAAACCTAACTTCTCACGTGCCATCTACAGTCATGATTAAGAAAGTGTGAAGCTATACTTCCACTCCCCCTATATATCTTCAAACATGGGAGTAACTTTATTTTTTGTAACTACTAATAAGCTAAACTAAGCAAACATAAAATTCCGCAAAAACTGCACAAAGGGAACCAAAATTACCAAATTTAATTTCAATATTACCTGAACATAGTGTGGCACCAGGCAACTTCACTGAAAAATACTGAAACATCTACATATCACCTGAAGTACAAGTCATAACTAGAGAGAAGCAGGAAAATGGACTGGTTACCAGTTCTACAAATCTATTTTACACACCTCTGTTCCACCAGATGTAAATATGATGTCTTCAGAATTTCCACCTATCATTAAAGCCACTTGTCTTCTTGCTTTTTCAATACCCTCCTTAGATTTAACCCCAGGCTCATAACCAGAGCTTGGGTTGCCCCACTCTTCATTTAATGAATCTGTTATCTTCTTAACTACATCTGGAGCAACTGGAGTAGTTGCATTGTGGTCCAGATACACTGCCATAACTGTAAAATTAAACTTAATAAACACTGTTTTACACAAAACTATATTACACCATCATTATGTAAAAAATTTCATTTTGAACAAAAATATATTAGTAGCTTAGGTCTGTATTGTTTATCCTTTGTGACATTTTCATTTGCTGGTTAACCCTATAGATTTAAACCCATATGTAGCTTGTTAGCCAACGTAAAAATAAAATGAAGCCTTTAGCACTAACCTTTTGCTTCCACCACAATACATCAATGGCATGGTGCTTATTCTTTTTCACACATTTAGCAGAAAGAATTCTATACAACTAATAAAACACCTTTTCAAAATTAATGTTAGCTGCACACATTTAGCACAAAGAATTCTATACAACTAATTAAACACCTTTTCAAAATTAATGTTAGCTTGCAAACAAAACTGTTCCTTTGATATCAACAATATGTATACCAATGATGATGTGCATGCGCAGGTGATCATGGATAATGGTTTTATCATCCAACATCATAATTCCAGAATCCATTGTGTTATTACCAAGTGCAGTAATAAAGGCAATGTAAACCTGACATTTCCACATATGGCATAAAGCTAATATAAAATTGTATGAAAAGCCTCACAGGATTATAAAATCATTAAATGCATAAAAATGATCATATCGACTAAAGGCATTTGGTTAGATGAGGTAAAGTATGTGATGTGCGTGCGCAAAACATCTTGGGTAATGTTTTCATCACCATCATCCCTCTTTGTGAATTTCAGTATCTATCACGATGGTATTACAAAGCTCGGAAGTTGGAAAGTATGAATTTGGAGTAGTGGCCTACAGCATTATGTCCATACCATATTTCATTAACTTCTGTCCAGTCATTCTCAATATGAGCAGAATGTCACTTGTGAAGAAATCTGATGAGGTAAGGTTGGGGAACGTGACTGAAGTGATGAGCAGGCACAGAAAATCGTTGATAATGGCGTTATTATCATCCCACCTCATGACTTTGAGCTGGATGCTCAAATGTGTAAGAAGTTACAATGCATGAGTTTTGAGTAGTAACCTATGGCATAATGCCCACACCAAACTTAATTCATTTCTGTCCATCCATTCTCCCATTATTAAATGTGTGCATAAAGAATCAGTTTTGAAGAGGATAGGTTAGGTTAGGTTAGGTTAGGTTAGGTTAGTGGCAAACATGCGCAGAGGATAGTAGTTAATGTGAACATCCATCACGACAATATTACAAAGTGGGAAGTTTTATTAAAGTATGATTTTGGAGTGGGCACACATTTTTTTTTATTTCTGTCCAGCCATTCTCTAGTTAATAAATTCGAGCTGAAGGATATCAGTTATGAAGATGTTCGATAACGTTAGGTTAGTGATGCGTATAGACAGAGGATCGTTTGAATCTTTTTTTTTTTGTGAGTATAAAATGTAGGTTATCAGACTTCCCCACATTCGTGTACACGTACGTAACACTATATGCCACTAGATTAAGGTTATAATCTGTGAATATCATTATAAATATATTCAACAATTTTATATAATTAAACGAATTATGTCTTTAGCTTAAATTTAAAACTTCGGAAATACTAAATGGAGATACATTTCAAGTTGTTATAGACTCTAATTACATGGAAGAAAAACAGAACATGCAACAGTAACTTAATTTTAGACATATTACTATTCGAACTACGGTTTTATCTAATTACGTGTAGAGACACATAGAATTTTTGTTTTGGAATGCATTGACATCAATAAGTCTGTGTATTTTCGTATTCAAATTATTAACTTACGTGCGAGCACAGTAAACACAACTTATAATTAAGATGAAAGGCTGGTGTTAACTGAGACTAGCACACGTTATACCAACGTCTGAATAGTGAAGAGGATTTGAAGTCACAGTGGAATGTCAGGTTCTCACGTCGTTGAGTACGTTGGTTGCAGTTCCGCGTGATCTGGCAGAAGTCGATTTGACATTTCTCATAGTCAGGGTGATCACCCTGATTGTGGTAGTAAGCACTTTTAAATACTGGAAAAATTCTGCCACAGGACATGGCACTACAACCATGCACAGGATGCAATTTCATCCTTTAGCCTTGTAGATGTGGTGCCTATTCAGTATATTGACATATGGACTTGTATGTCACACATTAATTATTTTCCAGTTCACCACATGGGTCCCATATAAAGAATGCTAGGTCATTTTGGTGTAGGTGTTTCTGTAACAATTTGATGATCTGAATGCTGGTTTCACATTGTAACATGTAAGAAGTTTTGCTATAATTGTAAGTTTTCTTACCAATGTATGTAAAGTAATCCCACTTATACTCTTATTACACCGCATAGACCTATCTTCAGGTAGTTTTTGGTATTCATCACTCGAATGAGCTTGAGATACCAAAGGAACATGTTATGTGACATTGTACATATACTTTCTATTCATGAGAAAATGAAGTTAAATTATCTCCAACTAAAGAAATTTAAAATTCCAGTAGAAACTGAAATGTCTCCTAAAGAATGAGCTCTGATAGGATAAGCCCTCCTTCCAATCACTTGAAAGAAGTACGTGAAGGAAACAGAGGAAGAGATCTGATGATGGGAAGGAACATGATGATCAAACATACACTTTTAAAAGAATTTAACATTTTAAAGGCCAGGGTAATTATATGTACCACAATCACCAACTCTGTATTTTGTATATGTGGATTGGATATGATTCTAACTGTAAACATGATTATGATCTGATTAAACCATCTTCTTATAAGAAAAGACATTCTCCTCTTTTTACAGTTCATAACTTCTGTGTCTGATAGCTTGAGAAGGCCTGTATATGAACATTAAGAGTACGCATTTAAAAAATGATATATACAAAAACATTATATAAAGATCTGAATAAGGTGGAAGTGTAGGGATAAATAATTATTTTAACATTATCATCTTGTAACAAGGGATTTAAACACCTGTACTATGGGACTGTAGGCCAGACTTAAGAGTAGGGATAATTGTTTAGCAGTATGCTAGTACAACACATGGTCTGCTGGGTTGTGTGTAAACAGATGATAAAAGGTTATAATATTTGATAAAATTAGAGAACTTATAAGAGACAATGTGATTTTGAATACCCTTTGATCTAGACAGATCTGACATTTGCACACTTTCATTCATGTTGAAGTTCCCTAATCCCATTTTTAAACAGAATCAATGGAGAAGCAGTTAAGCAATAATAAGTTCTTTTACATACAATTAAGTGTGAGCCGGCGTAGCTCAGTCAGTATAGTGACTGGCTACGGACTGGGCAACCGGGGTTCCATCCCCGACGGAGGCAGAGGGTTTTTCCTCTAGCCTCTGCATTCAGACCGGCTCTGGGGCCCACCCAGCCTCCTATCCAATGGGTACCAGGGTTCTTTCCCGGTGGTAAAGCACGGCCGGGGCGTGATGCTGACCACTTACCCCTATCTAGTGCCGAGGTCAAGAATGAGTAGGAGCTATACCTCCACTCCCCCCCAAGCGCCTACATGGCATATAGTGGGACAGCTTTACTTTACTTTTACATACAATTAAGTACATGTTTAATTTCAAAATATTAAATGAATGAATAATATTTAAATGACCACTGGATTATTATCAAAAACTGCATTAAGACTGTTTAAAACATTAAACATTGCATTTTATGATGGTGAGATTTATTAGTATTTAGCTTTTGTTAACTCTTTGCATTAAACTGTCTTCACTTTTCACATTCCAAATATGATCATCCTTAAAATGGAACTGGTATTTTATAAAGCTGGCTTGCTTGCAAGGTAACTGAACTAAACATGTATTTAGATGAAGAGCGGAAGTTTTCATACACATTGTCTCTTTTCTCATCTTTTACACAAATACTATAATATTACTAAGTCTTTCTTTAAGCTCAATAAATATAATTTAATGTTCCAATACCAAGATTATAATACCAACATACATAGAGCTGATATCAAAGTTCAAGTAGTGTATGTGAATGAACCATATCACACTGATTTAACCATTTAAGACTTAACTTGAATAAATGTAGCAATTAAAACATTATTATAGAAAATGGTACCCATAATATATGACATTAAACCAGGTAACAAAATTCAACAATCTGAACCAGTTTAAATATAATATAGAACAATGGATGTTATAGCCCAGGCCACATCAATTTGCTGCAGTCTGTATGAGGAAAGGATGGATTATGGGGACTGAGAAGCAGGGGGCACACATGTAAAACTAGGAAGGGACTTAACTACTGAATTTACCACATAGTTAGTCTGTCTCTTAGTACTCAAACTGGAAACATGCTTTAAATGTATTATATGCATAACCCAACTTCCTCTAAATCTATCTGGAGTCAGCAATGATTCACTGGGGGAAGGGAATAGCAGTGATTCCTTTAGGGCTGAGCTGCCACATCAGCATGAGAAGGACCGACTCCGGCCAAGAGCAACAAGATGTAGCAACATTGACATATGGAATAATGGGGACTGTTGTATTGTTTTCTGCGTCACTGCAGTTTGTCAGTGAAGCTAAGAGAACATTAGAATAAGTATTCAATATGAAACTAAACTTTTTCTGAAGTACAAGTTACAATCCATAGCTCTGAAAGTATGTGTAAGTTGTCTCATCCAACATACAAGACTGCAGAAAAATGTTGACATTCGCCAGGAAATATTTCTGTTAGATATGTTTCCAGCACAGTTATACTAATGTCTCCATATTTCTTAAATATAAATTTATAATCAGAAATTTGACAGTTGTAAATTGAAAAGGAGTTCAGTGCAATATGCCCCATCCATTTGGACTGGGAGATGGAGAAGTACATGGTAGTGACACTGATCAGATTGTTGAAGCGTTAAAAACTTTATGTAGCATTCTTCAGTGCTATTATGAAGTATAAAAACTAGTCAGACAAAACTATTCAGTATAGATCAGTTAAAGAAATGCAGCATTTTCATTCCTTACACAGTTACAGTTCTGTGCACTAATATGTGCATACATCATAAAAAGAAATATTCTCTCTCTATGTGTATATTTTAAAAGAAAAATATGCAAGAATTCATTACATCAAAACAAATGTGTCCACAGCTGTTTAACAAAGATTAACAAGACATATTATCCATATACAAAATGTACACATCATTGAAGTCTTTAACAACTATTTAATTTTAAATAATGTCTTCAATTATATTGGTGTTCCCTTTCATTGCATCATTTCACTGGCTTATCAGTCCAGTTTGATCATGGCAGATAGCTACTACTACTATATTATTTAAAACTGTAAAATTGCCATCAACATTAAAATTATTAGAAATCTGTCATTTACATATTTCAGTAGTGCATTAATAACATTTTAAAAACAGAGTACAGAAAAAATGCACTTTTACTGCAACTCTGAAAGTAAATAAAACCAAGGAAACTTGTTCACAGTTTCATATGTATAACATAAAAAGCAAGAGATCAGACTGTTCAAAAAACTCTATCATTCTCATGAGCCTGTAGATACAAAGGTGAAACTCTCTGATGTGCATCTGATGTTTCACCTATATACTGTAGCCATTACATGAATACTTTGTGTATTTAATGTACTTACAAGTATGAATATATAATGTGAACACACACACACAGATTATGTTGACTAGGAAATTGTGATATATTTATTGCATACAACTAAACTGTTAATTGAAATACAAGTAATTAATACAATCCTTATCAAGTAAATATACACATTGTATTACAACTGCGCATATTAAAATTGACTTGTACAATACTTTCAATCAAGGATTTCAGGGTGGTCATTTAAAATAAATAAATATTCAATGCAGTAAATTTATCAATTTCAACCTTTGTTTCAATACATTTGTGTATGTTATATTTATTATTTACAGTATCATTAAAGTACTTGTACTAGAATTATTGAAAGCAAAATTTATAAAGTCATTATTTTCCCTGTTTGTCTCATTTTTTCTTATATTTACAACTGCTACTACTGATTATCTTTCATTGCTCTGTCTTATCAGTCATTATGCTAATTTTACTGATTATCAAATTTTTTAAATTTCTTAAATCCTTTACAATATTACATGGAAAAAAATTGTAATTAAAATTCTTTCATCGTACAGAATAAAATTTCTTTAACATTTAACAGCTATGTACAGGGAGGGAGTTTTGATGCTTTGAAGTGCAAGTGATTCATTGCATAAGCACATAAATCAGAAAGTTGAGTGATTTTTCCATTTCCTCTTTGAGCACTATTACACCTTATAAGTAACTTATGTCTTTATTTGGGTCACCTATTCCACATCTTTAAACTGAGTATAATGTAAATGCAGGCAAGAAGCTATTTTGCTCATATAATAATTATGTATGGATAAATAAAAAACCCTCGGTTTTCAGCGTGTGAAATTAAGTTGGTGATATAAAAAATACATGTTATTTCCATATGGAAAATTCTGCTGTCATTTTAAGGACTGATACAGGGCACCAAATATTTGTCTTTTTCAGATACCTGAGAAAGTGGCTCATTTCCTCCAAATTATCCTCTTTTTATGAAACAGTCATAATAATAACTAGAATAAAATCTTATCACAGTACCAATCAGACCTTAATATTTCTTAAATTACAGTTTATGTTACCAACTAAAACCAGGCAATCTTCTGTCCTGTAAAATAGTGCTCTCCATTTGTGTTGATGCTATGTTGGCATACAGATAAAGATAGTGATTGAATTTAGAATAGGCTGCATTCATTACACTTCATTTTGAAGTACATCCAATAGCATAAGTTTCTTTCATGCAAAGAATCCTGAGTTACATACTAGGCAATGGTACATAGTGCCAGTCTCCTGAAATTTCAAAAGAACAGTTTCTATCATACACCAAACTTTCTATCCAACCCATTTATCATATCTTGTAACAGAAGCCTATAGCCACACAAGATAACAGTGAAACATGATTGTTTCTGCTATGCAATTTCAAAAAGACAAACATAAAAAAGAACAAGGTTTGGCAAATGCAACTCATCAAATTCCACACTTGTTAAACCATCTGGCAGTTTTCATAATATGTACATATATTCCTGCTAGTTTTGCTTCAACATTAAACAAGTGCAGTAGGCATGGTTCCTCACCAGGTTTCTTTAACCCTGTCACTGTTATAAAATGAGAACAAAACATTTGCCAATAAATTATACATAGTCTGAGTATGTACTTAGCAGGATCTGAAGTTCTCATAGCAGTGAGTATAAAGACAGCCATCTTTTCAGCACGTACTTATTTGGGTTGATGTAATGCAGACAGTATACACAGCCTTTGGATGACAATGAAAGTGTTAACAAAGTTTAGTTAGACTGTAAATCAAACTATACAGCAGGGAAACACAGTGAAATCTTATATTCCTCTATTCAAAAGTAAGTACATTAACTTAGAATACTGAATACAAGGTTCTTGTTTCTTAAGAACAAGGCTGGATTACATGGGAGACATAAACTTTCCATTTTGTTTATGGATAAATGTAATTATTATGAGGAAGAATGGACATTATATTGTAAGTATGATTATTATTATAAGAGAGTGACACTACATAGTCTGAGCAGCTGACAGCCTTGTTAAATAAACTACAAATAAAGTACTGCACAATGGGATGAATAACAGCATACAGAAAGACATTCTTAAAACAATATTACAATGCTTCTGAGGATTTATTATTATGAAAAGTATAATTTAATTTGATTTAAAAATCTTACAAGAATAAACTCTCCATCTAGGGCCTGGCAAATTGCAAGAGACCCAATTAATTAAAACATTAAATAATTTACTGAACAAGCCTGTATCTTATTTTCTAATAATTCCTCTGCAAGATGTTACATTTCTCTGACTGATTTATTCATACAATTAAGTTAGAACAACACAACAAGGATTTTCCATCTAGCACTCAAAATGAAAACTTGACACAATATGAGGGGTGAAATATTTTTGTTTTCTCATACCAAAAAGTAATCATTACAGACAATCTAACTCCTTATAAAAACCGAGACTTCACATCTGATAATATGAAGACCAGTGCATACTCTTCACACATTGACAATGGAACTAAGAATGCATCATCCATATTCCAAAGTTGCATTAAACTCCACTGGACAAAATGATCTTGCAAGAGCTTATTTTCAAGAAAGAGAGAAAGAAAGATACTAAGATGTATTGATATTACAGTGGAAGAATAACTGTTAACTGCGTGAAGCTTGCAAAAAAATTAATATGGTAAGCTCTTGTTTATTCACAAATATATTAACCACTGTGCTTCTAGAAATTTCAGTAGCCTTAATATCAGGGAAATTATTACCTGAATTTCTTTAAGTGTCTGAACAGTTCAATCATACCTGCTACTGGCCCTAGATTCCTATTACTAACTTGTCACTGTAACTGCCCAGCTGAGGTGAAGCAATTCAGGTTCTCAGGGTTTCCTGGGTGGTAGCTCAGTGAGATGAGCTTTTCTCTCAGGGAATATATGTGGAGGCACCATTTGAAAAGACAGACGTTTGTGTCGGAAACTGTACTTTATTGCGTACACACACCAAATGATGGACACGAAGTTTCACCTCAGTTTTGTCAAGCACTTTACTTTTGACCACTTTAATTTGCCAACAGATTAATTTACTTGTAACAAATAATATTAATGACATTTGGCTAAAGATTATCAGCAGGTTTAACAGCCTGGCAAATTTCATGTTGACAAAGTTACACAACACAATTTAGATCTCCAAGTACTTCCAAAAATGCAGGTGCAACCAACAAAGTGTGTAGAGACCACAGACTTTCAAATATTCTCTTTACAGATTCCTTTTTTTACATATGGTTCTTACAATTGCTTTGCTGAACTGCAACAAAAATGATATACATTCTTATTCAGCAATATTATACATGTGCCATATTTTGTTGAAACATTTTGGATTTTGCAATGTTGAAAGTTTTCCTTCCATTCTGTAAAATTTTGGAGAAAAGATGTAAAGAGACATCTCCAGAAGTTCATCAATTAGCATCATGACCTTAAAATTAACTGGAAGAAGCTTATACTATTAAATGCCTTATATGTAATAACATGAGCATGAAATACGGCAAAGTCAACAACCATAACAAGACCATGGAAATTTGCTGCAGAGTTAGATGGAATATTGAAGTCTCTGGCAGATTGTCAAAATGTTAACATCCACAACAATGGACAGTGGTATCAGGTAGATTGTATGATTCGTGGTTATTAGCTACTGACTAACAATGAAAACGTTTGCCAAAAATAAGACCAGAAATGTGAAAAAGACAAAGGAAGGATCAGGAAGCAGTACTAATTCCTTTAAACAAATCAAACATACATCTATTTAAGTGGACTGAAAGATTACCTGACTAATTGGAACAAGCACACACTGTTTTCTGAAACCAGCATCATGTAATTACCATAAACAAGTTTAAAATGGCAAGTAATTTTAACAAAGTTTGGAACTATCTGTAATGTTATGTCTACTAAGAATAATAAAAGGTGCCCTTTACTGATGTTGAAATATGTACACACACACCTTTAACTTAAACTACTAGTTTGTTGTAAAATTGTTATTACACCATGTTGACATGTTTCTTGTTTCACTGGCTGTCTGTCATTAACTAAAGTTCTATCAGGAGACCAGTAACATCATCATAATTTCTGGTACTTTGTCAATTGATAAAAGAAATCAGTAAACACACATAGGGCTTGGTTATAAATTTCACCCAACTAGATATATTTTATCACTTGCAGTTTGTAATGACTTCATGGTTCATTCATACATAAACAAAGGTACACTAAGACTATAGCTTATACACCAATTAAACAGTTAATAAATATATAAAATTGGTAATATAACCTTTCAAAATGTAAAGTTAAGCTACAGTAAAAAACATCACTTAATTTCTCTTACTTAATTAACCAGTTATGGCAATATTCCTACATTCCCTGAATCAATCCCATACCTTACTCAAAGTACTAATGCATGGAACATTTTTATATTAGACTATTTTTTATATGTAATGAAAACTTTTAATTATGATCATAGTCTAAGTAGTAAAGGAATAAAAACACAGTGCAGAAATATGGAGTGATGAATCCCAAAATCAAAACTTAGGCACTACTAAATTGAAAATGGTAATATTGTCTTGTAAATTCCTGGCATTGGTGTGGTCTGTAATTCTGATTAAGCCAGAGAGATGGGGGAGGGGAAACTTTAAAAGTATAAAATATAGTACATAAAATGATAATAAATTAAAAAAAAACACTACTCAAATTTAAACAGGCCTGGATTTGATACCAATTTCCATTAAGTTCAATAACAATAGTCTCATTTTACAAATTGGAAGTATACATTGGTCGAGGTCAACCTTCAAGAAATGTACTCAAAATCAATCTTAATTGGTAATATTATTTAGGAAAACATGTGATATGTAAAATAAAACAAATACATTGTTTTAAAATATTGTTTAAAATACTACAAGTTAATATTACCATTATTATTACTCTTTACATAACCTAATTTTTCAATTTATTTTATTAGTATTTAAGCAAATCTAATGTTTCATATTTGTAATTTAGTAAAGAATATCCTTCATATGATGATACTGCATCAAGTCTATGCCTTGTGGCAGGACACACTACAGTAAAAAACCAAGAAAGCTGATTGCTAACACTTTTTAACAAAAACAATTCTGAGGTTGAATGCTATTTGATAAGTACATGACTGTAATGATTTCAAAAGTTAAAAATATGTACAGTGTCATCATACTAACCAGTATAATAACGATGAAAAATGCTGTATTTATATATGAGTTGAAGCTGGTTTTATTATCTACAGGTTTCATATGCTACCATATTTAAATGTTTGTACATTGCAAGTTACTTCATTTTATTTTAGTTAACAAAATCCACTGTGATGCAAGGGTGGAACATGCAACAATTAAAATTGGAAAATTCAAACTATTTTGAATACTTGTCACATTCAGAATTAATTGAACAGTTAGATATACATACATATATAAAACCAGAATTGTACAGAAAATTCTCAGCTAAAACTTTCAGACACATTTTTAGTTTAGTTTATTTTGCATACATTTAAAATAAAGCAACATTTTCAAAGGGCTATCGACTTGATGGTATGGAAAAAAATACTTATTTTGATTTATTATGTGCCCACATCACAATGATTTTTGTCTACTTATCAAAACTACAGGGTTTTTTATTCAAAAGTGGTTATATTTCATAAGCACCTGAACTTTATAGATAAGAAGATTGAACTTTTAGGCATGATGAACAATGATATAATTAATTATTTGCACTTAAAGAATTAATAACAATAGTTTATGAGTTTCTCAAGTCAAAACTATGCTGCTCCTAGCCTAGAAAGTTTTTAAATATTTGTAGTAGAATGAATAATTACACTAGAATTCTCTGTTTAAAACTACAAGTTAAAAGTTGTCATGAGAGGAACGCATTGCCACATGTGATAAGTGAATGGAAAGTCTACAGATAAAATCTGAGTCATTATATATATATATATATATATGTGAATGCATTAATCATGTGTTCTAAAATAGTTACATGTGCATGACTCCTTTTTGGCAATCCCTTCTCTAGGTAACTGTGTTTAAAAGTGGAAACAATTTAATGTGCCACTTCTTAATGGGTAAAAATTGGCAGTGGTTACGCACTTGAATTTTCATAACAAGAGGTAAGCAAAATATGTAAAAAACAAATTCTCTCCCAAAATCAAATTAATGAGGATTAAACAATTATCACAATTTTTCTAACCATCCTATCAAGTCATGTGGGCTTCAACTGAAAGGTGAAACTTCAACTTTGTGTACAACTTATGGGCTTTGATGTATATGCAAGATAATTCCATGTGAACTGAAATATCAGAATACTAGTATTTCTGCCATCAGCCATAGAGATATAAACTGATCATCACTGTCAAGGAAAGTACTGAATCCTACAAAAACCTTTCCATTGTTCCAGTAATCTTTTTTTCTCTCTCCATGACCAACTGCATTACAACAGTACTAAATTGAATGTCAGAGATATAAATATATATTAAATAGAATTTAGATGTCCTTTGATGATCATGTTATAATACATTCCTGTTACTGACTGGTACATAAGTTAACTACAATTGTTAACAAAGCATATTTGATTGTTTTTCCTTTACACAGGCATTACAATGCACTACATTTCAAAGCCTTCAAAAACTAATATCTACCTACAACTGTTGCTACCATGGCAATGAAGACTTTGGATCTTCCAACATCTGAATATTGTATTAATAAAGATTAAATTCAACAATGATTAAAGCTTGGAAAGATGAGTTTTTTAATAGTATGTCAATATGTTCTAGAGCAGTCTTAAGTCTATGTTTATGATATTCTTTTAGATGTATATTTTTCAATAGAGAAATAGAGAGAACAAGAGAAGAATAAATGACAAACAAATATTCAAGAGTAAAATTGTCATAAGATAGCCTTCAAGTACATAATTCTAATTCAAATGTATCCAGTGTGTATTGTCGTCTTGTATATAGACGAGCACACAGCTCCATTTTCACGTTTAGTTCTCACTTTTTAACACAAGATACAGTAGTCTACATCACAGCTTCAGTATCTCACTTTGTAAATTTCTGCACAGTTCATTTACACGACATCTGACCCTGAAAATTGTTACCTCAATGTTTAAGGTAAAACAAAAATCCATGCTCAGACAATATTTACAATTCTAAACTGAAACGCATTTTATACTAAATCTATAAACATCTTGCCATTCCTAACTATCAATTAAATATAACTATTTAACATTTAAAATAAATTTAAGTAGTGTATAATATTTCAAATATAAAACTAGCATGAAAACAAAGGCTTCTCTCTTTTTCTCTTTAAATATAATATTTACAAATATATGGGGACCTGCCCCCCTTGGTGCACCAATGAATAAACTAAGACAACCATCTCTGCTCGTCATTCTATAAACATTGAATATCGATATCAGAAGGCAAAGACTGTATATATGACAGAGAAAAAATATAATTTCTTACCTTCTCTGATCACTCACAATTTTTCTATTAATGTAATATTAATTAATAGAGTATTTAAGTGAAAAAGGAAACAAATATGAATCCTGACCATAATTAATATGTCTCCCATCAGTTCCAATGGAGAGAACATCGATCATACTTTTCTTGTAAAACTGTTGCTACAATACAATATGCCATGCTATAGAAGCTCTGTTATCTGGGTCCATGTCAGATATTGATCACTAAAAAGTAAGTTATTTCTTACTGTACATATGGCCATGAAAATCATGCCAGAATCCCAATACCCCTCGTGTCTGTCAAATCAATCATTTTGCTTCTAGCAATTAAAAAACAAAATGATCTTCAGAACCCTTGTGGTGACATACAAAACATACACACGACATGACAAAATTTTTTGAAGAAGCATGAGCATAAGAATAGGAACAATTAACTATTACTTCAAGAAGAAGAAAATTTATTATTAATGTATGTGTTATGACAAAGAAATCCTCAGCAAAACCGACATCCCATTCAAGGACACAGATTCTCAAGGCCACACTGTTTAAACAAACTGTCGTTCTGAGTCCAACTTGATTAATGGTTTAGTGCCTCAAACTGGGCCACACATGGACTGGATCAGTTTGTAACCTTTCCTACTACCAGTCATGGTAACTACTTCTGTCACTGAAAGTATGGTTCATGTTCATATTACTAAAGTATGACTGTGCCTTGGTTATTTGTAACACTGATACTAATGGAAGATTATAGCATTTTTAAATCATGAAGAAATGCATCAATTTAAATTGCAGGTTTGTGTGAACACAGACTAGCATGCCAAAAAGCATACTGTTCTAGGAAACGGAATCTACAGTTCTTATCTCTTCTAAAGGAATGGCTTGATATGACTGGTTAAACTTGCTGAACCCACATTAGTCACAGTTCAAGTTAAATATAAAGATGTTTAATGGTAAGGATTAAATTTATTCTTCTCAGTATTTTCAATTTACCTTGCCCCTAGTTGTTTTGGTCACTGTCCTGCAAGAGGATCAATACAGGCCCCTAGCAGAAGAACTAAATCACCTACAGTTTGATAATCTTACACATTTAACAAGTGCGAATTAGTCTGTCTTTTCAGTTAAGTTGAGAATCAGGTTTTATCTGATGTATCCATTGCAAGGCTGTCTTTGTGTCTGCAACCAAACCAAACACAATATGTAAAAAATTAGAGGGAATTATTAAGTTTCTTTTAATTGCACATAGAAATTTTAGTAACAAATTTAATACTTTCAAGACTGAGTACTGACTGGGTTCTAGCACATAGTCTAGCTGGCCAGCTAACACACAACAGAATTTTTTCCACCTTTTCACATCATTCTAATGTTTCCTTCTTTTGGTTTGAAATTCTTTTATTGTACCAGCCATTTTTTCCTGTTCCTTCTACAGAAGCATATAAAGTCTGTCTGCAGAAGCTGTAGTTCTTTTATTACATAATCATTTCAGACAGAGTAAATTTTAAAAATTAAATTTATAAACAAATTTTTCCTCGCTCAACAATATCTATTTATTGAATTTAAAAAATGACACAATTCAAACTTATTAGACTTAAGGACTAAGATAGTAAATTGGCTGAAATATTTTGTCCACACTGTCTATTATCTTTGTGAACAGTGTTCATTAATGTATATCTTAAGGCTTAGCTTTGATTAAATGTTCACATTCTCTATTAAAAAATTTGGATATCAAACACAATTTAGCAACAAAATGGAAATCTGAGCATTTAGTTCAGTGTGCTGTAACTTCCATGTCACTGTCGTTCACTTCTGAACAAGGCACACATTTTCTTTTAAGTTTAATTTGCTACATGCTATTGGGCATGGCATGTAGCACAGAGGGAGAAATGAGAAATATTTACAAAAGTTTACTTGGAAAACCTGAAGGGAAGAGGCCACTCGAAAGACATAACACATAAAAGGAGAATAATATTGCAGTGTGTCTTAAAGAAATATGTATATTGTAGACATAGTGACTGGAGTCATCTGACTCAGGATGGGATTAAATGGCAGTCTCTTATGAACATGATAATGAACCTTTGGTTTCCATTAATGATAGGGAACTTCCTGACCAGACGAGTGATTAACAGCTTCTCAAAAAGGAGTATGATGCTCCATGGAGTTAGTACATTCACAAAATGTGGTAACAGTCATGAGACCAATCATTGCATAAACAGCAGCAAGCATACAGTCCCACACAATGTGCGATTATCTCCATGCAGGCGTAATAATCTTATTTTTTAGTACTGCCCAATTTTACAGTAAAATTATCTTGAAAATTAACCATCACATTAAATTTGTTCTTGAACATTTTCAAGTAGACTTTTTTACAAAGAATAATTCTATGGACAACTTAACTGCCAATTTATGTTCATTCCATATAATATATTTTTAGAAGGCATTAAGGATACTGATCTAAGATTAAGAGTAGAGGGTAGTAAAATATGAACACATCACAAAACCAAAATCTGCTACACAGTCATATTGTAACAAATTTAAAAAAGTTACATTTAAATATCTGTGAACAAGAATGAGAAATGAGTTGAGAATTTCACACAGTGTGAATTTAGAGTGATCTGGGTTGCTACACTTCAGATTGTATGCCACTGTTCTGGAAGAATATGCTGTCTCTGACTTCAGTTTGAAGTGAGGACAGTTAAGAAGTTGATGGGCTATATAAAGTTAGGTGGATCAGGCCACGAAGATTGCTGGTATACAACCATAAGGCTACAATCTAAACAGTGAGTAAAATTATGTTCACAGAGAATTTCAGATAATACATTTCCTGTTACAATATAACAAAAATTTCAATGTAGTTGCAAATGAGTCTAAAAACCATAACTCACTGAACAAAGATCACATTCTGGATATCTGTATTTAACCTGAAAATATAATGAGATGTGTCACTAATTTGCATTATGCAAATGTGAGATCTTTAATGCCTGTTGTAATGAAAAAGATGAAGTTATCAAGTTCATTACAACCACTATTCTTAAAACTATGTTATGCAAGGATTGAAAGAAAAGAAAATAAGTAAATCAAAACATTTTGAACAAGAAAAAGAACTGAGGCCAACCATACAACACAAGTCCTTCACCGATTAACAAATTTCCCACTGGCCAGATATTCAGCAGCAAAGACATCACCTTTCCAGATGAATATCAAGTTTAATTACATCTCCCACACAGACATATTCTAAAATAAAATGGAACTTGAGACCTTCATGACAGCCCATAATCAATGCAGAGTCTTCTAGTTTGCATCATGTTGAAGCAGTAAAAATTACTGGAAGAACTTGATGCTTCCTTCTTTGGGGCTAAAGTGATGCCTCTTTAACCTTGAAGACTGAGACATAAAATTCCTTTGTTTCTTCAATAACTGTTACAGTTTAAACACATGGCAATACCCAGAAGACTCTACAGCTAATATTTTAAAAGGTTCATGTGATTTCTAATGTACTGAAGCTCACAGAATGGCAATTCAGTGTCCTTCCTTACACACCTGAGGCTAGTCCCACCATTACTTGGGTCGGTGCTGGAGTAAGCCGAACTGTTGTCTGGACAGAGCGACCTTTGGCGGACATCCACTGACAGGTCCTCCTGCCTCTCTTTTTCGGCTGCCAAAGCTCGCTCTTTCTGTAATCTGCGTGTCAGTAGCAACAGCAGCAGCAGTGGCATTGGTGCAATGTGGCAACGTAGCAGGTGACACGGCAAGCGAAGGGAAGCAGACAGAGAGGTGACAAGTCAAAGAGAGAGATACAATTAGAAAACAATGGTACCAATAACAGAGAAGAACCAGACAAGAAACCCTCAAATCACAATGAAAAGGAAGTATTATTTCAAAGTCATTTAAATTTATATGTGATTAAGATAAAAAAATAAAACAATTTGTAATTTCTGACATTTAATTCTTGACCGTCTTCTGACATTTAGATTTCTATATTTACATGATGTGAATGTGTAAATACATTCCTAGTAACAAGATATTTGTATTGTTAAAATGGCAATGGGCTTGTTGATACAGCATCAGAAACACACAATTTTTCATAACTAAAGTGGTACACAGATGAATGAAATGGCATTGGGTTCCTGAATAAACCCTTTTTTTTAAAATTATTTCCCTGAATGGAGTTTGAGCAAAAGAACCAGTCTTTATAATATCTACAGCTTTCATCTGAGCATAATATAAAATAAAATGTCTACTTTGATTTAAATCAATATTATAAATTATATGACAAAATAATTATAACTTACAAACTGTTCTGTAACAAATTAAAATATATAAACTGTTAAAACTGTAACACTTTTCCTTTGATATCACATGTCATTATGCACTGATTGCAATGAAATTGTTCATGTTTGTACAGTGGTGCTGTAATAACTCTACGTTATAATTTGACAGTGTGAAAATATAATTATGTTTCAATTCTCATGATATGACATTGTGTTGCGACAGGATAATGAGCCATTTTGCAGAACCAGGATGGCTCCATTCCCATGACGTGGCTAGACAGTAGCCTAGTGCTGATATTTATAGTTCCAGGCCACAAGGTAGTAGGAAGTTCCATGCTCTGATGGTAGATGTGTTAACATCAAGGAACAAGAACAAAGATTAAGTACCTGTTCAGACCCAATTTTCAGCAACTTACTTCTTTCAGTGTTTAATCCAACATCCCTCTAGAAGAAAGTCTGAGAAATTTGACCCTGAAAAAGCAACCTAAATTCTGATCTGCTTCCTTATCCAACAATAAGAGCACAGAATCGAGAACTATAAATATAGGTGCCAAGCAGCTGTCACTTTGGCTTGAAGAGAGAAACAACTAGGTTCTTCAAAAACATCAGCAACCACTATGCCACAACATGGTACCACAGCCAAAGAACGGAAACAAGATGAACAATTCAGTTAAGAAGTAAACAAATTTTCATCACAATATCAGAATGTTATACAGAAAGAAATAACTATTAATTAGTCTAACAGCATCAAGATACAGGGAACTTATAAGGTGTGGCAAAGGCTAATGAAAATTTTACTGCATACTACTGACAAAAATTTGAGATGATGAAATCACACTACATGAAAATATGATTCATTAGACCAAAACAACTCTAACATGAAGGCCCAATTTTTGATCAGGACATAAAATGAATGCATAGAGCAGAATGCAAATCTGTCAATCTATACACGTTTGGGTATCATATGATTCTCAGAATAAACAGCAATTATTTCCTTAAGCATCATTAATCAAATGATCTTTGTAATGGAGATGCATTGTGTATTATTTGAGGCAGGGGCTGACATTTGAAGTTATTATTTAGACAAGCCTCAGCTTCAACGGTTTTATGGCCCTTTCCCTGTATATGAAATCACATACTTCCACCCCTATTTGTCACACACTTAATTATGGTTCCTTTATCATCGTACCAAAGTTGAATCATACAGACAAGGATAAATCTACAGAACACAAGGACTGTATCACTTAAGAAACCCCAAGCGGACAGGATACAATGTATAACTACATGAGGAGGACCCATCAGCACTGATATATGTTGTGGCATGACACACATTACTATAAGACTTGACTATGTTTCAAAATTAAAATATCTGTATGCACATTACACCATGAAAAAATGTTAATAAAAGTGGAAAAAGTATAAACTGATGAAAAGAGACAGTCCACCACCACTGTAACACTCACCGGATTCCCAGGGCTAACATCCCACAAGCTGTATCAGGTAGCATTTAGAGAAAGAAGCAACTGATTAGTTCAAACACAAGTGCACAACATGCAGGGCACCTTTGACCTTACACCAACCAAAGTTTTCACGAAGCACAGTTAATCACACGAGCAATCTTACTTGAAGTGAATGTATTGTGCTGCGTAAGGAGGGCTGGAACATGGAACAAGCAATGAAAAGAAAACAAGGAAGGGAATGAAGCAATGTAATCATCAATGTGCAAAGTGTTTCACTCAAGGATCTCTGCAGAATAGAATTAGAGTCATGTTACAAAGGTGTGTGTCTCGATCGATCTGTTCCCTGACATAATTATGGACACCACTGTTACGGATGCTAAGTAACTGACATCCATGAAAACTGGTATGATCAATTAGAAGTCACCACTTGGTGCTTTTTAACTTCATGTCATTAACAACAAAAGACAGCAGTACAAATCTGTGAGGTCGGTACAATAGCAGCACGATGACAGATCTCTGAAAAAGTATGTATATTTTCCCCAGGGTAATCTTTTATGTAAATGGGACAACATAGAAACCATGCAAAATATTTTGGCATGATGATTGTAACATAAAGTGTACAATTTGTATGATGGTATGTTTTAAACAATTCTGTTAATATTATATCTGATACTAAAATCAGCATAATCCTTTGAAACCCTAAGATACACCACACCGACAGTGAATATTTTAAATCTTCCTGCAGTTACTCACAAAAGATTCTTTGTTTTACTGTTTCTTTTTATATATCAATGTAAGGCTTTTCTTTCTGTTATCATGAAAACCAATGTAATGTTTTCACATAATTCATCTCATAATTCAACACAATGGGGCTTATGGAAAAAACAGTGAGTCCATCAGTTATAAAAAGAATTTATAATAGCATGAAAAAATAAAATGTATTTAAACAAGCACTACGATAAAGTCTGTGCACATAAACATTTGTCTGTAGCATTAGATTGACAGACCACTGTTTGACAACCTTGTTTTAAAATATGCCATTAGAAAGGTTTAAGAATATCAGGAGAGATTGGAACTGCCTGGAATGAGATAACATGGAAATAAATCAGATTCAAAACATACATATAATAATTAATCAGGTAAATGTAGTTTGGTTATAGCTGGTTAACATCTGCTCGCTTATCACCATGTCACAATGTTGATATTACTGTTAGTTGTACCTTCTGTAGAACACGATGCAAGGTACTGGGTAAAACTCCACTGGAAGAGAAACACACTCAGTCATATAGCCACAATAAAGTACTTACTTGTTTTTAGACTGTCGCATGAACTGCTGAATTTTCCTGGCTGCCTGATGCTGTCGCCTCTGTGAATAGGTTCGCCTGGAGACAGAATTTTCGGGTTTTCAAAAGACCGTAAAGTGTTTGTGGCTCATAACCACAGCCAGAAATTATATGTGAACTATTTATAGTCTAGAACAGGGGTGGCCAACCCAAATAAATGGAGAGGGAGAAAGGGTAATGGGAGAAAGTTGCACAGAAGCCATAAAACGTGCAATTCCAGTGTACACCCTAATAAGGGATTCTGAGGCAATATGTTCATCCAGATGGTAACCATCCACAAAACCCCATGGCATCACTACCCAGAAGATCACAACCAATATCTTATAGCCATAAAAACCACAAGTCTCATAAGCTTTAATTAAATTATTTTCTTTGTTCCTGAAAGTTTATAATCATACATCAAATTCATTTGTGTTAAGGTAAACTGCAAAGGTTACAAAGACATTAGTCCAAACTAATAAAAGTATGGTGAGCTACTGTACTGGGGGATGAATAAAGTTTCACTGCAAACTGTCTGCACAATTATGAAGAATATCACTTACAGCCATCCAACACACACTTCAACCTTATTGTACCATATCAGTCTTCACATGTTCCAATGTATTTATTATACGTGTCATCAACAAGAGATTGGTATATTTCACTCATTGCATTTTCAATCTTATGGTCAATTTATTGCCTTTCATTACTAATAACTAAATAAAATTAGAATTTAACTGTTATTTATTTATTAAGTAATGTGTTATAAAGTTAGCTACAATTAGTTCCATTATAAGAATCAATTATTATACACATTTATGTTAAAATTTTGTTTAATTATATAATACTGAAAAATGGTACATTTGAAGAAGGGCTTAAATACAGATTCATTCGAATTATATTTTAATTCAAAATTCATTATGATCACTGATTGTAATAATGTGACTTGGTTTTGACTACTTCTGTAAATAACACACACTTAACAGATCAAAGCATGTTGTTACTGATATGACATATAATAATATTAAATGTATGTTACACAGCTATAAGAAACAATTTAAGGTACTACTGACTCTATAATATAATGTGAAGTTTGACATTTCTAAGTTTCTTTTATTTCTGTGAAAATAGTATATCCTTCAAACTCTGACTTCTGTTTCAGGAACCAAGAAATGAAGACACCTTAAAACAGCAAAGAAAGAAACATTCATGGTTAGAGGAAAGCAACACCATTTATACAGAGTTTCCTTCCTCAATGAGCACTTAACAGAGAATAGCATAGTTACCGAGACGAGCACATCTGAACTACCACAGTGATACACAACCACACCGAAGCAGGCAGGGAGACAGTGGGAAGCACTTCACTATTATGCCATTCTCATTACCACACTTACATGTCACTACAGATGCTTCATTATGCTTAACTTTCTTGGTACCATTATTAGAAAAAACTTATATAAATACAAAGACTAAGAAAAAATGTGAACTGTGAAACGGCGACTATTAATCCTCAAGCAAAGGTAAAGTTGTCCTGGTGTTTATTAAAGAATCATGCATTAAACATGTGTGGGGTAGTGGAGGTACAGTTCCACCACTTCTCGACCCTGCTTTCCACTACATAGGAGGCTGAGGGTATGAACTCGATTCAACTGGCTCAGAATGGAGACAAAATGTGTGGCAGTTACTGACCAGTTCAGCCACTTCCAGATTCTAAAATAGTGTTCTCTGGGGTTAGTAATATAATACTTTTATACCAGGAGATGCCACTTGGCTTCTAGCTTCCCAATGCAAGACAGCATGAATGAAAAAGTGGCTAAATGAAGGCTGTTATTATTCTCACGAAACATGCTTCTCCGACTCATCGAGTAAGAATGTTTACATCACAATTATATTCTGTGCATTAAAATAGCCAATTTGTTTCTCAGTGTAACATATAAGTATCATCCTGAGAGATGGCATCACTGCAGGCTGGCAAACTTACTTGAGACCACTACTGCTGGTGTTACCACTGCTGTTAGCATTAGCCTGACCAGCATTACTAGGTGTTCCCTCACGACTCCCTCCTCTCCCCCCCTGCTCCCTGTAGTTGCGGTAGTAGTTCTGAATGCATACAGCTGCTTCTTGACTCTTCTTGAACCGCTTGTGTTCGCAGTATGAACGGAAACCATTCTGTATTACCATGGCTGCACGAGTCATTTGCTTGAAGTAGGCATACTGTAGAGCAGTGGAGATATACGGAGTTCCAGCAGCAGTCATAGAATGGGAGAAAGAAAAAGAAGAAACACATAATCATCACTTACACAACGCTTTGCTTTCAACATATTCACAATTCTTACCACGCAGAGGACGAGGCACAAATCTTGTAGTGCTTTAAATTCACGCAACAGAGACGGATTACAGATATGTATGTTTTATAGCTGTCATTGTTTTACTTCAATAACTTTTATTATTTTATAAAACTGACCCAAATTTCAGATGAAGTTATCAAAGAGAAAGGTAAAAGAATAATGCTGTCCTTGTGTTTAAAAGCTCCATCCCATTAAGATGCATGGGATACCGATCAGTTGCATGCCCCAGTACCTTATGATATGAAGCCAGCTGGGCCACAGAGCTTTTCTCAACATAATGATGACCTGTTGAGAACTGAACTCCAGCCATTTGGTGAATACTCACTATAATGATTAAGCTGTCATGAATAAACTTATTTTATTTCCAAAAGATACTTTCTATTCAATATTTATTAAACAAATTGCACAAATTAGGAATGGAAAAATAATATCCAATGTGCAATTACAGCAAATGTTACAAGAAATCTTGTACAAAGCTTATGCAATTTTTTACTAAATTGTACATATATGTTCAACTTGAATATATAAAATATATCTAATCTCCATTTGGTAATTCATTCAAAACTTCATCAGAGTATAAATTTTTCTTAAAAAAATTAATCAAGACCAGAGATATATAAATTAGAACAACCTCTGCATAAATTGATTTACTGAAAAGGATGCACATATAAAAGCAGAACCAAATTTGATACTGAATTGACACACTTTGTACGTGGTTATCTCATGTAGAAATAACAGACATATGCACATGTGCGCACGCACACACATGCGTGTGCATGACATGTGACATACTCCATCTGTCTCTCTCTTTCTCGCATGCACAGTAAAGTAAATGAACACTAGAAATAATTTCTACAACAGTTATCACAAATAATGAGATAAAACCTTCCATGTAAACAGCAATGTACAATATAGATTAATGTTATTATTCACTCTATACTGGCATACCTGTTTATAGCGGCGATAATAATTCTGTATAAGAACAGCTGCAGCACGTTCTTTATCCTGCTCCTCCAACTTCTTGCGGCCTTTGTATGATCGGTAAGCCTTCTGGATTATTTTAGCTGCTTCATACAATTCCCTTTGCTCACGATCTAATGTTAACAAGATAACATATTCTCAATTTTAATTTAAGATTAAAATTAATTTGAGGATTGTGAAGGTTGATTGATATTGGAGATAAGAATTTAGATATTCATTAACAATTTAAAGCAGGAGTATCTAGTTCTGTTACATGATGTGACTGAAGTAACTTAACTTCGTTCTACAGTTGTTACATGTGGATGAACTGATTGACATGGTCAAACTCTTTTTTGTAATTATTGTAGTAATTTCCATAATTAGGCCTACTTTTTAATTCATGTGTAGATTGGCTTTTAGGTATGTTTCTTTCCTTATACTGTACCAAATGTTCTGTACATGTTGGATCCAGTTTGTTAACAAATGATGCTTACCAGACAAGGTGAGATTTGAAAAGTCCTTTTCAAACAAACTGCTAGAGGCCTGGAAGAACTCGCAGAAGTCAGCAGTTGTGGGTGGAGGTGATGGAGAATCCAGAGTAAATGAGCATGGAGACTGCAAACAACTAGATGACGCTGGGCTTAGAGATGAACTGGGGGTACCAACATCATAATACCTGAAAAAGATACATAACTTATTAATGGTTTATTTTTACACTGTGCTTAATTCACATTCACTGCACTTAGAACATTTCAACACAGAAGAGAGAAATATCTTTTAAAAAAACATAAAAAATGTTGGTTCTACAACAACCTAAGATGATTCTAACAGATATTCAAAATATAGACAGATACACACACACATTTTTAACCTAATGAGAGCATTAGACTGTTTTCTGAATTCATGAACATGACAAAAATTTCAGGAACATACATTATGTGATGCTAGTGCTTTTTCCCACCTCAGGTTGAAAAACTGTCATATTAATATTATTAGTGGATGAAATGTTATAGTAAAAGAGTAGGGCAGCCTTTAACAGCACAAGTAGGATTTAAGGTTTTCTCCGAAGATAGCCGTCTTCTGGGTTGTAATGCCATGGATGGAAGCAGCTAGGACCTCAGAAACATTGGTGAACATCTATCAGACTACACAGCACTACAACTCAGAAGACAGTCATCTTTTTTAATAGCACAATGTTTGAAACAAAATACACAAAAAATCCATTCATTGGTTCAAAACCTAAAAGGGGGACTGACACATAGAACTGAGTGAAAATTTCAATGGGAAATAAACAGTATATATATTTTTTATATGATAAAAAGGTACGGAAAACCTACTAAGAATGTCAAAGAACATTGCTAGGTAGCTCTTTATATTTATGCACACAAGTACCAACCTGTAGTTATGATCACTAAATTCAAAGTTAAACTCCACTGGTTCAAATGATGATGATGGTTCGTCCATGAGCAGTGGTTCCATGAACACTTCACTGAGAGATTCACTGGCTGTTGTCAAAGATTCTGGTTGTGACAGACTGCACTCATGTACCAGCATCATATCCTCACTCTCATTCTGGCAGCAGCACAAGCAATTAATGAGACAACTGGCATTTACTGTACTCTTATACAAATGTGATTTGGAAAATAACATTATGAGCATTACATGCTACAATAAGAGAATATAGGAGGTCAATGCAGCCTTTAGTGAAGGAGCAACACTATAATGGCTACTATACAAAGCCAGCTGACCAATGGAACTGCCTTACGGGCAGTCCAACTGGATGTATCTTGTAGTAGCACAGGGTTAGACCACGGAGTTAAAATATAGTTGGCAGCCCCATAGTACAGTGATTTAAATCCCATTCCTGTACGGTACCAAATAAAGGTAATTTCTATTTCTGAGTACAGCTACTTCCCATATATCTATGTCTTATGAAGAAGCAAATGAAGCAACTTTTTATTGCATGTCATTTGTTCTCTAGGGAAACAGTGTTCATATTAAAAACATAAGACTGACATATACTATTTGCTGCAGTGGAACAGCAAGCCGAAGGAACACGTCATTAAAACAATTCTTAAACATGGGAAGTTCTTAATAAATTTAGTGGATATATGATGACTAACAGTATCCATGATGGAGCAGCAGCTGACTAACTCTGTCCACAATAGACACGTACCTGCAATAAATGAACACAGAGTAATGAGAGCAAAACACACATAATGCATGATAAAACTCTCCCTTCACTCTTTATTTTGCATTAACTGTTATTAAATAAACTGGAAATTAAAAAATTACAAATTTGAGTGACATTATGTTTATACTAAATTTTGTGAAAATCTGTCACATTATTCAAAAATTCTTAAACGGGACTGCCATGATGATAAATATGAGGATATCTTTTCTTATAAAATAAGAATGGCAGACTAAGATATAGACACAGATCCTACACAAAGAAACACATATATTCTTGACATAACTCTGTTGAGTATGGACAGCATTCTGCCCTGCAATAAATGGATAACAAACTTGAATTAGTGTCAATGGTGGTCTTCTGGGTTGTGACACTAGATGTTCCTGTAGGTGGTTACCAGTGTTTGAGGAATGTATCACCTTCATCTTTATGATGAAGTGAGTCAGAATTGTGATCCAAGACGTTTCTATATGTGGAAAATTTCCTGGGAATGGAGAGGGAGAAAGTTGCACAGAAGCCATAAAACGTGCAATTCCAGTGTACACCCTAATAAGGGATTCTGAGGCAATATGTTCATCCAGATGGTAACCATCCACAAAACCCCATGGCATCACTACCCAGAAGATCACAACCAATATCTTATAGCCATAAAAACCACAAGTCTCATAAGCTTTAATTAAATTATTTTCTTTGTTCCTGAAAGTTTATAATAATACATCAAATTCATTTGTGTTAAGGTAAACTGCAAAGGTTACAAAGACATTAGTCCAAACTAATAAAAGTATGGTGAGCTACTGTACTGGGGGATGAATAAAGTTTCACTGCAAACTGTCTGCACAATTATGAAGAATATCACTTACAGCCATCCAACACACACTTCAACCTTATTGTACCATATCAGTCTTCACATGTTCCAATGTATTTATTATACGTGTCATCAACAAGAGATTGGTATATTTCACTCATTGCATTTTCAATCTTATGGTCAATTTATTGCCTTTCATTACTAATAACTAAATAAAATTAGAATTTAACTGTTATTTATTTATTAAGTAATGTGTTATAAAGTTAGCTACAATTAGTTCCATTATAAGAATCAATTATTATACACATTTATGTTAAAATTTTGTTTAATTATATAATACTGAAAAATGGTACATTTGAAGAAGGGCTTAAATACAGATTCATTCGAATTATATTTTAATTCAAAATTCATTATGATCACTGATTGTAATAATGTGACTTGGTTTTGACTACTTCTGTAAATAACACACACTTAACAGATCAAAGCATGTTGTTACTGATATGACATATAATAATATTAAATGTATGTTACACAGCTATAAGAAACAATTTAAGGTACTACTGACTCTATAATATAATGTGAAGTTTGACATTTCTAAGTTTCTTTTATTTCTGTGAAAATAGTATATCCTTCAAACTCTGACTTCTGTTTCAGGAACCAAGAAATGAAGACACCTTAAAACAGCAAAGAAAGAAACATTCATGGTTAGAGGAAAGCAACACCATTTATACAGAGTTTCCTTCCTCAATGAGCACTTAACAGAGAATAGCATAGTTACCGAGACGAGCACATCTGAACTACCACAGTGATACACAACCACACCGAAGCAGGCAGGGAGACAGTGGGAAGCACTTCACTATTATGCCATTCTCATTACCACACTTACATGTCACTACAGATGCTTCATTATGCTTAACTTTCTTGGTACCATTATTAGAAAAAACTTATATAAATACAAAGACTAAGAAAAAATGTGAACTGTGAAACGGCGACTATTAATCCTCAAGCAAAGGTAAAGTTGTCCTGGTGTTTATTAAAGAATCATGCATTAAACATGTGTGGGGTAGTGGAGGTACAGTTCCACCACTTCTCGACCCTGCTTTCCACTACATAGGAGGCTGAGGGTATGAACTCGATTCAACTGGCTCAGAATGGAGACAAAATGTGTGGCAGTTACTGACCAGTTCAGCCACTTCCAGATTCTAAAATAGTGTTCTCTGGGGTTAGTAATATAATACTTTTATACCAGGAGATGCCACTTGGCTTCTAGCTTCCCAATGCAAGACAGCATGAATGAAAAAGTGGCTAAATGAAGGCTGTTATTATTCTCACGAAACATGCTTCTCCGACTCATCGAGTAAGAATGTTTACATCACAATTATATTCTGTGCATTAAAATAGCCAATTTGTTTCTCAGTGTAACATATAAGTATCATCCTGAGAGATGGCATCACTGCAGGCTGGCAAACTTACTTGAGACCACTACTGCTGGTGTTACCACTGCTGTTAGCATTAGCCTGACCAGCATTACTAGGTGTTCCCTCACGACTCCCTCCTCTCCCCCCCTGCTCCCTGTAGTTGCGGTAGTAGTTCTGAATGCATACAGCTGCTTCTTGACTCTTCTTGAACCGCTTGTGTTCGCAGTATGAACGGAAACCATTCTGTATTACCATGGCTGCACGAGTCATTTGCTTGAAGTAGGCATACTGTAGAGCAGTGGAGATATACGGAGTTCCAGCAGCAGTCATAGAATGGGAGAAAGAAAAAGAAGAAACACATAATCATCACTTACACAACGCTTTGCTTTCAACATATTCACAATTCTTACCACGCAGAGGACGAGGCACAAATCTTGTAGTGCTTTAAATTCACGCAACAGAGACGGATTACAGATATGTATGTTTTATAGCTGTCATTGTTTTACTTCAATAACTTTTATTATTTTATAAAACTGACCCAAATTTCAGATGAAGTTATCAAAGAGAAAGGTAAAAGAATAATGCTGTCCTTGTGTTTAAAAGCTCCATCCCATTAAGATGCATGGGATACCGATCAGTTGCATGCCCCAGTACCTTATGATATGAAGCCAGCTGGGCCACAGAGCTTTTCTCAACATAATGATGACCTGTTGAGAACTGAACTCCAGCCATTTGGTGAATACTCACTATAATGATTAAGCTGTCATGAATAAACTTATTTTATTTCCAAAAGATACTTTCTATTCAATATTTATTAAACAAATTGCACAAATTAGGAATGGAAAAATAATATCCAATGTGCAATTACAGCAAATGTTACAAGAAATCTTGTACAAAGCTTATGCAATTTTTTACTAAATTGTACATATATGTTCAACTTGAATATATAAAATATATCTAATCTCCATTTGGTAATTCATTCAAAACTTCATCAGAGTATAAATTTTTCTTAAAAAAATTAATCAAGACCAGAGATATATAAATTAGAACAACCTCTGCATAAATTGATTTACTGAAAAGGATGCACATATAAAAGCAGAACCAAATTTGATACTGAATTGACACACTTTGTACGTGGTTATCTCATGTAGAAATAACAGACATATGCACATGTGCGCACGCACACACATGCGTGTGCATGACATGTGACATACTCCATCTGTCTCTCTCTTTCTCGCATGCACAGTAAAGTAAATGAACACTAGAAATAATTTCTACAACAGTTATCACAAATAATGAGATAAAACCTTCCATGTAAACAGCAATGTACAATATAGATTAATGTTATTATTCACTCTATACTGGCATACCTGTTTATAGCGGCGATAATAATTCTGTATAAGAACAGCTGCAGCACGTTCTTTATCCTGCTCCTCCAACTTCTTGCGGCCTTTGTATGATCGGTAAGCCTTCTGGATTATTTTAGCTGCTTCATACAATTCCCTTTGCTCACGATCTAATGTTAACAAGATAACATATTCTCAATTTTAATTTAAGATTAAAATTAATTTGAGGATTGTGAAGGTTGATTGATATTGGAGATAAGAATTTAGATATTCATTAACAATTTAAAGCAGGAGTATCTAGTTCTGTTACATGATGTGACTGAAGTAACTTAACTTTGTTCTACAGTTGTTACATGTGGATGAACTGATTGACATGGTCAAACTCTTTTTTGTAATTATTGTAGTAATTTCCATAATTAGGCCTACTTTTTAATTCATGTGTAGATTGGCTTTTAGGTATGTTTCTTTCCTTATACTGTACCAAATGTTCTGTACATGTTGGATCCAGTTTGTTAACAAATGATGCTTACCAGACAAGGTGAGATTTGAAAAGTCCTTTTCAAACAAACTGCTAGAGGCCTGGAAGAACTCGCAGAAGTCAGCAGTTGTGGGTGGAGGTGATGGAGAATCCAGAGTAAATGAGCATGGAGACTGCAAACAACTAGATGACGCTGGGCTTAGAGATGAACTGGGGGTACCAACATCATAATACCTGAAAAAGATACATAACTTATTAATGGTTTATTTTTACACTGTGCTTAATTCACATTCACTGCACTTAGAACATTTCAACACAGAAGAGAGAAATATCTTTTAAAAAAACATAAAAAATGTTGGTTCTACAACAACCTAAGATGATTCTAACAGATATTCAAAATATAGACAGATACACACACACATTTTTAACCTAATGAGAGCATTAGACTGTTTTCTGAATTCATGAACATGACAAAAATTTCAGGAACATACATTATGTGATGCTAGTGCTTTTTCCCACCTCAGGTTGAAAAACTGTCATATTAATATTATTAGTGGATGAAATGTTATAGTAAAAGAGTAGGGCAGCCTTTAACAGCACAAGTAGGATTTAAGGTTTTCTCCGAAGATAGCCGTCTTCTGGGTTGTAATGCCATGGATGGAAGCAGCTAGGACCTCAGAAACATTGGTGAACATCTACCAGACTACACAGCACTACAACTCAGAAGACAGTCATCTTTTTTAATAGCACAATGTTTGAAACAAAATACACAAAAAATCCATTCATTGGTTCAAAACCTAAAAGGGGGACTGACACATAGAACTGAGTGAAAATTTCAATGGGAAATAAACAGTATATATATTTTTTATATGATAAAAAGGTACGGAAAACCTACTAAGAATGTCAAAGAACATTGCTAGGTAGCTCTTTATATTTATGCACACAAGTACCAACCTGTAGTTATGATCACTAAATTCAAAGTTAAACTCCACTGGTTCAAATGATGATGATGGTTCGTCCATGAGCAGTGGTTCCATGAACACTTCACTGAGAGATTCACTGGCTGTTGTCAAAGATTCTGGTTGTGACAGACTGCACTCATGTACCAGCATCATATCCTCACTCTCATTCTGGCAGCAGCACAAGCAATTAATGAGACAACTGGCATTTACTGTACTCTTATACAAATGTGATTTGGAAAATAACATTATGAGCATTACATGCTACAATAAGAGAATATAGGAGGTCAATGCAGCCTTTAGTGAAGGAGCAACACTATAATGGCTACTATACAAAGCCAGCTGACCAATGGAACTGCCTTACGGGCAGTCCAACTGGATGTATCTTGTAGTAGCACAGGGTTAGACCACGGAGTTAAAATATAGTTGGCAGCCCCATAGTACAGTGATTTAAATCCCATTCCTGTACGGTACCAAATAAAGGTAATTTCTATTTCTGAGTACCAGCACTTTACTGACAATGGAGAACACTTATTTCCCCTCTATTTGTAATGGTAATTTAAATATGAAATTATGCAACTGACCTTTATCCTTTCTGGCATAGCTGCAATTATCTGTTCAGCCAATGTGAGTACTCGAACCTCTTGTTCCCCTGTGAAATTAAATGCAATATGGATGATATAAAATGTTTATAGCTTTTAAAAAAATTGTAAGTAGATGTTTATATATTTCATAGTATATCCCATGTGTTACATTGTCACTTGGTCGAACTCATACATATTAACACATTCAGACCGGCAGTTAGAAACTTAATCTCTGGCGCTTTATGATAAAAGTCTGCAATCAGAATTTTTGATGTTATGTGAGTGTTCTTTCAGTTTGTGTCAATTAATAGATGGGTCTGCAAAACCCAAGTACCAATAGGCAACTACATATGCAAAATTCCTCCAGGACAAAAATGGCTCCTGGGATAGTCTGACAGAATTGCCTGTGTGTTTGAATGTGTATGATAATAAGACTGTACATGAGCAAAACATTAATTTGACCATACAATTAGTGTCACTTCCACAGATCTGTCTAAGACATTTTATATTCCCTTAAAACCATATATTACTCCAGTAAATTATATAAAAATCACATTAAAAGCAAAAATCTTGATATAATTTTATACTTGGAATGCAAATGAGAAAACCATGAACAGTGATCACAGTTGGAATTCAAATGGCTACCTTCAAACTATAAGGTATATGTTTAGTAAATGTGATACATATGCAAGCTTTGCAATGGTGTGTTTATGGAATATTAATACAGGAACCATTAATACCAGCATCAAGTTTCATGAACATTCCTTTGTTTGATTTTTATCTGTAATGGCAAACACAAATTTGTCTTGCTGCAAATGTTAACACAGAATTCTGTATCCATGGGTCAGGCTCTCTTCATTTTATAATTTACAGGAATATATTACTTTTTCCAGGTCTAAAAATGTTGAATAATACAAACAAGTACTGATGCATTTTTGTGCACATTTCCCTTTGTTTATTAGTTTAAGAACACACAACATATCAGCAGTTGGCTCTGCTTCGGTCATCAGGCTAAACTACACAACCTAATTAGTTAGGTCTGCGGAAAAGTTAATTTCAAGGAAAATGTCCAAGAATATGCATCAGTTTAATATCACACCTTCATCAAAATCCTTCATACAAAAACAAGATATATTGTTGGAAATTTGAGATTTTCACAGAAGTGAAAATCTAGATTGTGAACTTCTGGGTTATGATACTGAATAGTATTACACGTTGTTAGCATTTTAAAATGAACCTCTGTAACACTGGTAACCATCTGCAAAGTCTTGCAGAATCATAACACCCATAAGACCACAATCCACAAAGAAATACTGTCAGTCAGTTTACACAGCATGGAAGACTATATACAACAGTAAAGTGTATCCACCAGTAGATGTGCAGCTGCGAGTGACTGACCTACAATGCTCTGTTTAGCCTCCGACTCTTCGTCCGAGACGGCCTCCACGTCAATGATGGGGCTCTCACTTCTGGGCCCCGTTGCCACTTCGCCTGAACCAAAATTCAAGCGTGAAGAAGAATTGTAGGAAAAAAATATAATACCAAGTAAAAAATGCAGAAAACCAAATGCAAGCAAAAATATAATCTCACCCAGATTCCCTAGTTACAATGCATATATTAAATATGTCTCTTGGAATCCAAATCTGAACAGGTATGAGACACATGAGGCTCCTACAGGCATAAGGTCCTGGCCTGCCGCCCACCCTCTTTGCCATCACTGCACCAGTTAAGCCTAACAAACATGTATGCAGATTGTTGAGTTGTGAAAGAAAGAAATCATTATGAAGATTAATTAGATATCATGGTGTGAAAATAAATAATCATTTATATTTATCATTGCATACATACTGAAAGAAACTTTTAATAATATGCACAATAAGGATGGAGCTACTAAAAAAATATATAAATGTTACTGTTAAGACTTGGAAACTCCAGAAAACATAGAGACATCATGCTCTAACAATACTTTAAGAATGGATATTTATAAGCCTTCAAGAAAAATAAATAATGGTATTATGTCAAAATTAACTGAATTATAAATATTAATATGTAACCAGTAAATTATAATCATATTTAGTATATATAAAATGCAAACCTAAAAATCATCTTCTAAGTCAAATGCATTTAACATGTCACTAAATGTTACCAAAATATTACAAAAAATTGCATCTTCACCCAAAAAAAAAAAAGTCTTTGTGTTGCAATATGATGATGGACTTGACTTATTACTTGAATTTTATAAATATGAAGTCTACATACAAGACGAAACTGCAACACAAAAAAGGTTTTCTGAGAATGGTTTAGATCCATCTAACAAGCTCTGATGGGTGCAATGGTGAAAGTTGAAAACAAGAAAAATCTGCATAATTCCTGTTAGAAATGCAGATAGCAAAAGCAAAAGTTTTAAAAATGTAACTAACAAGCATAAAAGACTATCAAGAGTTAATTAATTAAATCCTACATTGTAGCTTTGAACATACCTGTAAGGCAATGCTTCCCTTCCTAAGTAAAGCAAATGTCTTCCATGCTAACATTTCAAAGTACAGTGGAACCTCAATATAACGCAGGTGTTGGGGTACAGTTTTAGTACCTGTGTTTAAAGTGAGAGACATAAAACTTATGTAACCATATTGGGGAACATGATCAAAGCTCCCATATAAGCAATTCCACAGTGTAAATGGGTGCATTATATTGAGGTTCCACTGTACTAAACAAATACATGGCTACTTATCACTCCTTTAAAAAACACAGTCTTCTTTTAATGTAATTATCATAAAACAGCAATATAATATTCAGGCGTGTTTCTGGCATCCATTCTCACAGGAAACAATAATACAAAAACACTGAAAAACTATATGCACACTACTGTCAAAGATGGGCTCATGACCTGCTAAACTGTAGCGTGGGTACAAAGTGAACTCTCTTTTTAAAGATACTGTCATGAAGGGATAACATCTGTAATACAAGCTGAGATAAAATTTTGCATATTAACCCACTGACATATTTGACAGCTGTAGCAAATCTGCAAAATGGGTGACTCTGGCCTGAAGGCTATGAAATGTTACAAGATAAATGCTTGTCACTTGCCTTCTGCCCCCTTTACCTTAATTCCCCTTCTTGCCACACCCACTGGCCATTCTTTTCCTATATAAACTACTTACATCCCCATACTGACTCATTTTAACCCTCAAGATAGAAGAAATATGTTCCTTCAAAATTTAAACACGACTAAACAGCATAACATCCGAGAAGACCATAGTCCATAAAAAATAGTCATTGTTTATGCTTACCATTTGAAAATATTTCTTATGAAATAATCTATGAGAATTTATAACATACACAAGTCCTCAAATTCAAAACTAGCAAACTGTTAATCTCATCTAGTGAGTGCCCATCTCATGCAAAGAACTCCTGTAATGTGCACATTCTTAGCCCACTAAGAACTCTGATAAGAGTTTGCAATATATCTCCCAATTATTACATCTATTATAAGTGGTCAGTAAATATAAAAATACACAAAACTGAAGACCACAATATCCATAACTACACACAATACCAGATTAAAAGGATACAAACAAGATGCAAACATCAGGAATAAAGTGATTTAAAAGGTGCACTATTACTTTAAATAACGTTGTTATTTTCAAATAGACACGCAATAATAACATAAAAAATTGTAAATACTGTTACATGCATTATAATTCAGTTTATGACCTTCAGCTCCCTGACCAACTGCGGTTGAAATCAAGAATCAGAACTGGAAGTTAGGAAATGAATGCAAAATTTAACAACGCCAGAATAAAAAAAAAATAATAATAACATACAAAAAGTAGTTATAATATTTCATTAGAGCAGATATTTTGAAAAGTCAAAATAAAAAGAAACAGTAGTAGGCCTACTTTTCAAACTGGGACTTTAAATTTTGTACAAGCAATAGATTATAAAAACCTATCTGGCACTGTAACTTTGGTATGAGGTATTCTTACATCTTATTCAATTTGTCATGCCAATCAATATGTGGCTGACACTTGAAAGCTTCTGCACATACTGCACATTGCACAATCATTAACCACACACACAGCAAATTATCAATGAAAGTTCACTCATGCAGTACTACAACTCAGTTTACAAACAAATGGAAATAATTAAATAATTTGGAGGTTTTGACCAAGATATATAGTTTATTTCCATGTAAACAGGATATGAATGAGGAACAATAACAGAATATGAGACTAATTTTATTACACATTAACAATATATACTACAGGGACAATCAGCCATGAGTCATTTACAACTGTTTCTGACTTCAGCTCACATGAAGGAAAGTTGCTGCATGCAAAAACAAAGGATTGGAACGTTCTGATCTATGTATCACATGGAAAGTTTTAGAAAGATATGAGAAGTCTAACTGAAGGTTGAATGTGCTCTGAAAATAATAATAAACAGAAAGAATAAGATAAACTTACTAAGAGAAAGATGAAGGAAGAAAACTTACCTTGCTTTCAACTTTCACACACCATAGCTGCTGATTGAGCTTGATTATGTTAAGTGAATTGCTGTTGAAATAAACAGCATCGTATGTTGCAAGCGATGTATGTCTTGCTGATAAATATTAAAAGCTCCCAATTAAATTCTCCAAGTTCTGCATTCAATGCAGCTTTATAACTTTACAAGTACTGTAGTTTTTTTTTTTTTTTTTTTTGGGGGGGGGGGGAGTTATATATAAATGATTACCCACACAAAAAGGGGGAAAAAATGTTAGATGATAAAGAATAAAATTCAATAACAATATTTATTATAATTTTAAAGTGATGTATTAAACTGAAAGTTTCTGTCTATCCTGAACATAACCTGGAGATTCAGAATTCCTTTTAAGTAACAATCAGAAGACAACCCGAGTAAAGATTACAAATGTGTAAAACTTGGAAAATCTAGCATGATTTTTAATATTCATCAACAGTGTAAAAGAGACATAAGAAGTCCTGGTCTTAATTCATGATAATATAAAAAGGTTCTAAACCTGAGCTGTAACTCACAAAGTGCAAAATCCATTCTTCTGACTGGAGAATTTCTCATTATGTCACGACTCTCAGAAATCCCACAGTCATACGAACTTTCAACACCAGACATCGGCGAATTAAGTGGTAGGGACATGCTGCGGTCGAAGCTGAATGAACAAACAAAATAAAAATTTGCTTGAAAAATATGTGGCTCAAATGTTCCTCACCATAAAAGTTTTAGGCCTGACAAAAAAAACTGTTTCAACCATCTAGTTAACAAAGAAGCCATGGAACAGAATTAAAAATTATGGATAAGGTGATTAAAAACTATGAGAACAATTTGGCCTCCATTTACAATCATAAAGTTATATGATAAAAAAACTAAAATTTTACCTGTTGTTTTGTGAAAGTGTGAAATTTCTTACTGTGCACAAGACAGGCATCATATAGTTTGAGTGGGATAACACCCACAGACAAACCAAGTTAAGAGAGATATGGAGGGGAGAGAACGAGACTACAGGATGGCAAATTATGTGTAAGAATTGGCAGATACAGAGTTGGAGAGTCCTATATGAGAGTTGACCCAAAAGTGTGGAAATTACACATGGAAAGGGATGAAAAGGAGGGCAGTATATAGTATCTGGTGCCTTTATGCCCACTAGTATCACTACAATAAACTAAACTTTACTCATATGGCAATCATTATCTGGATAAGGTATCTCACAAATGTAAATTAGGCATATTAAAGCTGTTCCAGCTTTGCTGTAAACTAAAAGTACTGTAGAAAATGCAGTGCATCATGTAAATAATATACCGTGAAAGTTTTGGAGTTTCTCTTCCACCACCCATCTTGTTTCCATGGCATCTCAACGAAGACAGGCTGTCTGAGGACTGTACTGAACCAAGATGAATTCCACTGTCCACTGATGGTCGCTTCGTCAGACGCTGATGCTGCTGTGACTGATGTACAGATGTATGTCCACTGTTATGCAGCTGTGCTGTGCTTGAATCCACAATCCCTGTATTTAAACATCACATCACCCATTACGTAGGCCTTTCTAATGAGAGTATTGTTCTCCATGGCTGATACATCACCATACAGAAATTATTAGCACTATGAAAATACTAAAATAAATATACAAATTAACGCTAATCAATAATCACTAAAATAACTACAAAAAGATGGCTCGGACAAAGTTCCTGTAACTAGGTCGCAGTATTACATTCTGTTTAATTAACAAACTTGTCTTTTATTAGCTATACCAGGTGGCACAAAAGTTGTTTTAAAAATACTGCAAACAAGAATGGCTCTACTGGATTTAAATTAAACTCATTTAATTGTTGGTCATCATTTGAGCTGCATATGTGTCACCTGCCAACTTGTCTGATTTGTAGTACAGTAGAAAAAGAAGGGCTTGTAGCATGTAATGTGAAAAATAATAAATGCACACAAAAGTTTTGAAAAGCACACTTTCGAGACCTAAGCATGATACGACAGTATCAAAATGAATCTTGATGTCATATGAGTCAAGAGTGGACTGACAGTTTATACAATAAGAATCTGTACCATATTCCACAAAACAACACAATATCTGCCTCCTTCAAGTGTTCATTCAGAAGTGCACATACTGAAACTAGCAATTCCATACAAACCTGGAATGGAACCAACCGGGCTGGAAGAAGAACTGTGATTGCTACTGGCACTACCTGCTTCTCCTGACTGAGGAATGTTCACATGCAGCTCTAGACTCACAACTCTGTACTTCTGTGACTCACTTCTGTAAAAGTAGCAGACAAAAGTGGAAAGGTTACAGATTTAACGGATATGTACCTTCCCACTTTACACCTCTCAGTGGGCTTTCCATCCCTTTATATTCAACTAGCACAGAAAGCTGGAAAATTCATCTCTGCTAGCCTCTCAGACAACGGGCTTAAAAATATGATTCTTTTCAGCTGAGCACATTCATCTCATTCTCCTGCACCTCTATCCCACTGTTTGTATGAATTCCTCACCAAGAACATCTACTAACCTTGTAACAACACCAGGCCGAAGGAAAACACCATCATGTGAACGTGCTGTAGACGCAACAGAAGCCAAGGATACAACTGAACCAGCTGGGGACAGAGTTGATACATCTGGGGATGCTGATGAACCTAGCAGCATAATGTCTGTACCTAGATTTACTGGGGAGACAGAAGACACCTCTGTCCTTACAAGAGTGGATGTTGGAGACCCTAGTGAAGTAGAGCTTGTAGGCGAATTTGTGGCGGAACCTACAACAAGAATTTGTGCTTATAGTAATATGCCTATGTGTCAGTGAACCTGAGGCAGGCACAAAGAGGCAGCATAACTCTCAAGTCTTACCAAGAAGTGTCATGTTATTTTTCTCTCGTGCTGCTTCCAGTCGTTCCATTTCTTGTGCAAGATCCTCATGTTTATTAGAACGTGCACAATCTGTAGCTGTCTGCGCAGACAGGTTACGCACATTTAAGGCTGTGTGATTCCACCTGTACAAAAGGATAGCTGTTTCCTGATGACCTCTGGCACATGCCCACATCTAAAACATTAGTCACAGAGAAAATCAGTTTATTTATGGCATCAGGAAAATAATCACTATTTATACTGACAGCAAAATAAACCCCACAAATATACTCATTTGATAAAGAAAATGAAAACTAACTGAACATTAAAAAAAGGAGGTCCAAATAGTGAACACTGGTATAAAACGTTAAATAACTCTGATCAAAATAATTGATTTTCTTGTTAACATAAATCTTTAAGAAATCTCCACCCTGACTTTCACAAACCGATAATATTAATAATATAATAAATCTGTACCAGTGGTGTATACCCATCTTCATCCTGACTGAGGGCATCAACCTCTGTTTCCAGTAAAAGAGAAGAGTTCTCAGCACGCCAGTGCAGCATGGCACATACCAACCTGAGAACAGAAGTTTAAATAAATTCTTAATAAAGATATAAGTACTATAACTGTATTAGTCAATTAACAAGCAATCATATACAACTAAACCATTGTTATACACTTGAATAACACTTTTATAATATCATCCATTTTAAGAAAGGACAAAAGATTTTAATGTTGATTTCTGGGATGATGTAATGCTATGTTGACTTGAAGGCAGCTACTAATGTTCCTAATACAATACAGGTAATGGTCTAAAAGAATCGGTAGATACCTGATACAGACAGTTACAGCTTCCAGAAAATGAGCAGCAAGCATATGAGGATAAAGTACCCTTACCGCGAATATCCCAAAGATGCAGCCAAATGAAGCAGTGTCATTCCCCTGTGGCTTGAAAACCATGAAGGACCGACTTCCTCCCCTGACCTCCATGCTCTGGTGGTCATTTCTTGGCAATAACTAACTAGACGATCCTCAAAGTTGCTTTGGTTGAAAACTGCAGAACCCTCAACCTGAAGTGTGAAGCGGATCTCCTGTTATTGTCATTACGAAAGCAGTTTTCTTATACAAAATTCTGTTTTATATGACTTTAAATTAAGACTATTATTTTATAATATCAGGGCAGACTCACAAGTAAGATTCATAACCAAATATGGAAAACACAATTTTATCAGTGGCATTCATTTTGTGGGCAAATATAACTTCCAGGTTTCATATTCAACAGTGCTCTATATGGACTCCACTGAACTGATTTAAGATGGCAGACCTTTAAATTGGCTGTGCATAACCACCTGGTTACAACACTAACTGCCAAATGAATGGGTATTAATAGAAAATAATATATGAACAATTTTGTACAAAAATTTATTCTAATAAGCTTTAGATTGACACTACTGAAAGGTAAATATTAAATTGAAGTATGATTCATTCCTTATCACATTTTCTATGGCCATAATTTATACGGAAAAGAGGCTAACATACATGGTACAAAAATAATCTTGAGTTTTACAAGCAACAAGCCACTCACCAGTTCTGAGCAATCAGGCTCCTGCTTTATCTGTAGTCGGTCATCCATTGCCTCTAATCGCTGCAGAAGAGTAAACTTCAGAAGATTGTCACTACTACTTTGCTCCAGCTTTGGCTCACAGGCAGATGTTCGATCTTCTTTTGCTGGCTTCTTGTACTCAAATATCACCGAGTTGGAGATGACAAAACCCTCGCAAGCTACCTGAAGCGTAGCCAGGCCAACTTCATGGGCTACAAAAAGAAAGCATATGAGATGTGAGGTTCTCAAGGCAGTGAAGATCACAATGCTGGTCTTCTGAGCTATTACACCACGCGGACTTACAAGTGGGTACTAACATTTTGAAGAAACACACTGGCTCTATTTTCAGGGCTGAGGGCACATTGTTGTTTTCCTTCAACAATATTCCCCTTGAAAATGTCATAACCTCATCAATCATTACCTACATGATATTTGTATGACTTGAAATTACTGTAAAGTTTAATTTATTAAATGACCTCTTATATACAATATGGATTCTAGAATTTCATGTCTAGATGATATATAAAACTACAAACATCAAAATCAAAGAAAAACCATGTCGAGATGGAGAACAGCAGCATGAATATTTGTGCTTACATTTAAGTAAGGAATGAAATACCTGCAGACACTAATTCTGGTCTGGATTCAGCTATAGCAAAACAACAGCTGTTTATAAACCATGTAGTGTAAAGAAAAGCAAAGTTAAGTTTAGTAACCAGACTAGCGAGCTGGTGATTTTGTAAACACAGCAAATGTAAATTATTACTGAAAGTTCCCTCTGCTGGTCAGGCTGTAACTACAAGAATTAATGGTACAGTAGTATACTAACATAATATATAGACAACTAGACCAAATGTAAAGATAAAGAAACCTTCCATATGGGAGGAGGCAAAGGCTCGGCTTCAGGCTTCTGCACCATAGAGTCGGTCAGTCAGGCCACATGTAAGTCATAACACATGGCTAATAAAAGTCAAAAGTGTCTGGCATATACTGGAGGGG